CGTATTCTACCAAGTCCTCTAACCTCAAGAAGACTGCCATCCTCGCGTCCAAAGAGGCCAAGAGATGGCAACTCCGTACCAACAAGGGCACCAAGGATTTGCAAGCTCGTGCCAAGCGTGTCATGCGTGACATGATGGGCTTCTGGAAGCGCAACGAGCGTGAAGAGCGTGATCTCCGAAAGGCAGCTGAAAAGCAAGAGCTGGAGAACGCTCGCAAGGAGGAAGCAGACCGCGAAGCCGCTCGCCAGAAGAGGAAGCTCAACTTCCTCATCTCGCAGACCGAACTGTACTCCCATTTCATTGGCAAGAAGATCAAAACTAACGAGGTGGAGCGCAGCACGGATCACCCCGATGAGATCGCGGCTGAGAAGGACAAGATCCCAGAGAACGAGATGGACATCGAGGTGCCTACTGGCCCCATTGGTGCCAAGGTTACCAACTTTGAGAATCTCGACTTTGACGCCGAAGATGAATCGACGCTGCGGGCTGCTGCCATGGCGAATGCGCAGAATGCTATTGCCGAGGCCCAGAAGAAGGCTAGGGAGTTCAACAAGGAAGAGTCCAAGCTTGATGAGGATGGCGAGATGAACTTCCAGAACCCAACCATGATGGGCGACGTCGAGATCGAGCAGCCCAAGCTTCTCAACTGCCAGCTCAAGGAGTACCAGCTCAAGGGTCTCAACTGGCTCGTCAACCTGTACGAGCAAGGCATCAACGGTATCCTGGCCGACGAAATGGGTCTAGGAAAGACGGTGCAGTCCATTTCCGTCATGGCCTACCTTGCCGAGAAGTACGATATCTGGGGTCCCTTCCTGGTTGTTGCGCCTGCATCGACCCTGCACAACTGGCAGCAGGAAATCACAAAGTTCGTTCCCCAGTTCAAGGTGCTCCCTTACTGGGGTACTGCAGGCGACCGTAAGGTGCTGCGTAAGTTCTGGGATCGCAAGCACACGACCTACAAGAAGGACGCCCCCTTTCATGTCATGATTACCTCGTACCAACTCGTTGTCTCTGATGTTGCGTACTTCCAGAAGATGAAGTGGCAGTACATGATCCTGGATGAAGCCCAGGCTATCAAGAGTTCACAGAGTTCGCGTTGGAAGTGCCTGTTGGGCTTCCACTGCCGTAACCGTCTCCTGTTGACGGGTACCCCTATCCAGAACAACATGCAGGAACTCTGGGCCCTGCTGCATTTCATCATGCCGTCACTTTTCGACTCTCACGATGAGTTTAGTGAATGGTTCTCTAAGGACATTGAGTCTCATGCTCAGAGTAATACCAAGCTCAACGAGGACCAGCTGAAGCGTCTGCACATGATCCTCAAACCCTTTATGCTGCGTCGTGTCAAGAAGCATGTCCAAAAGGAACTCGGCGACAAGATCGAGATGGACGTTTTCTGCGATCTCACATACAGACAGCGTGCCATGTACGCCAATTTGCGCAATCAGATCAGCATCATGGACCTCATCGAGAAGGCGACACTGGGCGACGACGATTCTGCTAGTCTCATGAATCTCGTCATGCAGTTCCGTAAGGTGTGCAACCACCCTGACCTCTTCGAGCGGGCGGATACCGCTTCGCCGTACTCGTTCGGCTACTTTGCCGAGACAGCCTCGTTCATCCGTGAGGGTAGCCAGGTTACCGTCGGTTACTCTACGCGCAGCTTGATCCAGTACGAGCTGCCTAGACTGCTCTGGCGCGACGGAGGACGGCTGCACAAGGCTGGTGAAGACAACCAGGTCGCTGGATGGCGGAACCAGTGGCTCAATGAGAAGTTCAACATCTGGACTCCGGAGCATATCCGTGAGAGCCTAGCCGGAACTGACAACTTCTCATGGTTGCGCTTTGCCGACACAAGCTACGAGGAGGCATACCAGGCTAGTCACAAGGATCTCTTTGCTCGGGCTGTCGAGATGTCCACCAAGAAGAACCGGCTTGCGAAGATCAAGATCGCTTACGATGAGCCGGAGGACTTGAACTTCACTCCGGCGCATGCCCTCTTCCAGATCAGGGAACGTGAGGATCGGAGGCCTTTGGCTGAGATCACTGAGCAAGGCATTCTGGGCAGTTTGATGAATGTCTCCCGGAGTGCATTCTCCGAGACTGGCCTCGGTCGTCTCGAGCAGGCTGCAGCTCCCAAGGCCTCGGCTCCTCCTATCGAGGTGGTCTGCGACAGCCGTAGCGCAGTGGTTGAGCGGGAGAACATCATGTTTAACGCTCCCATGCGCAAGGTCCTCTTTGGACCTACCCTGGCCGAGGAGAAGGCGCTCGTCGTACAAAAGGTGCCGCCATCACGCTACCCACCGCCAGCGTTGCTCCCTGCGCCAGACAAGGAGAAGCAGAAGTTCACCAACATCACCGTCCCGTCGATGCGCCGCTTTGTCACCGACTCGGGCAAGCTCGCCAAGCTCGACGAGCTCCTGCGCGAGCTCAAGGAGAATGGCCACCGCGTCCTCCTCTACTTCCAAATGACGCGCATGATCGATCTCATGGAAGAGTATCTTACTTACCGCAACTACAAGTACTGCCGACTCGACGGTTCAACCAAGCTCGAAGACCGTCGCGACACCGTTGCCGACTTCCAGACCCGCCCCGAGATCTTCATCTTCCTGTTGTCTACTCGTGCCGGTGGTCTGGGCATCAACCTGACCTCTGCCGACACCGTCATCTTCTACGACTCGGATTGGAACCCGACCATCGATTCGCAAGCCATGGATCGTGCCCATCGTCTGGGTCAGACCAAGCAGGTTACTGTCTACCGTCTTATTACCAAGGGCACGATCGAGGAACGCATCCGCAAGCGTGCCATGCAAAAGGAAGAAGTCCAGCGCGTGGTTATCACGGGTGGCTCTTCGGCTGCTGGTGGCGGTGTGGACTTCTCTGGTCGTCGTGCGCCTGAGAACAGGAACCGCGATATCGCCATGTGGCTGGCGGATGATGAGCAGGCGGAGATGATTGAGAAGAGGGAGCGCGAGCTGTTGGAGAGTGGAGAGTTGGATAAGTTGCAGAAGAAGAGCAGGGGAGGTAACAAGAGGAAGAGGGGAGGTGCTGGGGGAGAAGGGAAGGAGGTTAGTTTGGATGAGATGTATCATGAGGGTGAGTCTTTCTTTGTCCATGACTGTGACCAAACGAATGAAATGATGCTAACTGATTACAGGTGAGGGCAACTTTGATGATGGAGGGAATAATATCAAGGGTAGCGGAACGGCTACGCCTAATGGTGCTGCCGGTGGTGAGGGAGGTGATGGAAAGGGAGCAGCGGGAGGAGCGGCGAAGAAGAGGAAGACGGGTGGAAGCAAAAAGGCCAAGACGACCAAGCAGAGATTGGCTATTGCTGATGGGGAGATTGATATCTGATCCCGATGTTCGTCTCCTGGAAGCCTCCTCAAGGGAAGATATGAAGAGCATGATTTCGCAGCGCTGAATTCGTGAAGGAGGAGGAGGAAATTGCTTTCTTTGCATTGTTTTCCTTTTGTAGTACTAGATGGTGAATGGGTGGGTGGGTTTGAGCTGAGCATTTGCTACATTCGTCAACTTGCATGTTCATTTCATGGATTCAAAGACCATTATGACCTATCGGATAGATAGGGTCGGACGGACGGAAAACGGAAAGGCAGCCGTAGAAAGGAGAAAGAGAAAGAAGTGGAACGAAGACATCAAAGTGCTCCAAGACCTTTACATTCCGAATGTAATAGGGTTGGACGGACGGACGGACGCACGGACAGCTTACCCACCTAGAAAAGATGTATGGATAGAAGCATAAGCAGCACACAAGTTACAGGTAGACTTACCTCCAGGCACAATATATTATACTACACATGCTACATTATGGTCATATGCCTAAGAATGGAGGAAGAAGTGCTGGTTGAGCGAGGAGGTGCCCTGGTGGTGGTTGAGGGAGATGATTAGTCGTTGAGACATGCCCGGCTGCCCGGCTGTCCGGCTCCAGAAGACGGAAGACAGAAGCCAGGGCAACCCGGTGGAGATTGGAGAGTGGTGGAGGTGTCCATTACCAACACAGGTAGTGGAACGGAAAGAAGAAGAAGCTTTTGTTTTTTTATTCTGATAGGGCCATAGGGGAGCCATTGATCACTTTTTTTCTTTGATGTACTTGCTCTATTTCATCCCAAGTTGCTCGGGATGCTTCTTCTTCTTAAGTCTCATGGGTGATGCCTACGTAGAGGTAGGTACCACTAAACTTCTTCATACAATCCGCCCTTCCATGCTCGTCTTATATCCACCTGTTATTTAGTGGTCCGAAGGAAGCCTCATACTTTGTAAGTGAACCCTTTCTTTGTTTTTGAACAAAGCAACTAGGTAGATAGATATTCTTGATATTGCCCATTTTTCCCTAACATCCACTTCACTCGCTCTCGGGTTTGTGCAATTCAGGTTGTTCGTACCTACAGTATGCGGTGGAATCAGTGTCACTTGTACCTACCTAGCAACCGGGTTTTCCTTGTCTGCGTTGCCTTGCCTTTCTCCCGTTCTCCTTTCTGTTTAATCCAGCACCCCTCTATCTTTCCTTCAACCCTCCATGGCCTTTTATAGAACCTTCCACTGATCACATAGAGGTAAGTATCATCTCACCTCTCCTTCAATACCTACACGAGAACTAACAAGACATGGGGACACTCCCAAATACCCCAAAAGAGCATCTGTCCGGCTCATCGACAGCGACGATGACAAGAACAAACCAGGTACCTGCCTAGGGACAACAGTCTAACCTCCATCTCTTGTTGTCAAGGCACCTAGCGTCTCTGTTGTGACTGGCAGCAGAACGAACGAACAAACGAACGGGCTGGATGATTCCTTCTAGCATCCGGGCGGCAGTCAGCTATACCTCTATCAAGATGGAATATCATGATAAAGGCACAAGAACCGCAATGGCTGGGAGAAGGATGAAGGAAAGATAAGTCTTACTCCATGGGTGTCACTGGCAATGTGCACAAGGGGTGATTCTCGAGGGGAAAATAAGCACATTTTCTAAATTCAGTTGTTCATCCCAGCGCCCTCTCCGTCCTTCCCTCGTTCTCTTTTCTTGCCTTTGTCAGTAGCAGGTTGACCCCAGGCTTATTAACAGGCGAAAGCCGAACCGCCGGGATGGTTGCTGTTCTGTCGGGCAATAGGTAAGTCAAGGTGATTTAGAGCATGCCACATAGCCACCCCTTGCTTGTTCACTGATGGACAGGAATGCTAAGAGACCGAGATGCAGTCAACTTCATCATGTCCCGATATCTCGAAAAGATCTCCCCGAAGGTATATTTCGCGAATTACCTGGCACATCATAGAGGCAGCTGACGTTTGCAATGTTCTTTAACGTTTGTATTACTGACATGGTTCCATCATATCGGGTTCAAGTTGTACGGCCCACATTACGCCCGGGGCTTCTTCATTGAAACAGTCATCTTGCATTTGTCCATGATGCCCCCATGTTCCTCCTCAACTTCCTCCATCGTCGACTTGAATTGAGCTGCTTGGCCGGCTCTGAGTACCGGGAAAGTATTTCCTGTTCGAGTACCGGGATAGTTAGCGCATGTCCAGCAGCTGCTTCTTGCCTCTCATCACCTTCAACCCACCTCAGGCTCTACCAATTTGTTGTCCAAAGGTCCTCTGTATCTGAGCAATGGAGTCGCCGCTGACAGGGAAAGCAGATTGTTAGCTGGGGTACTTGAGCAACACGAGGCAGAAGGGATACTTGCGATGTGCATACCTCAACAACGACAAGGAGACGGTCATCCTTGCCCATGATGACATTTACGGCCTCCTTCCTGCCTTTTCCAACGCCGAGACTCAAATACGTGGCCGGTGGACCTTCGTTCGCAAAGGTCGCAGTGTCTCGCCTCGGCTGCTTGATGTTGGACAAACTGTTGTGATGTTTGTCGTTGGGGTACTTGGTGGCGAGGAAGGACTCGAAGCTAGAGGGCCAGATGAGGCGGCCGAGAATGCGGCGCTTTTCATCGATAGAGACAGAGTACTTGAAAGGCTGAGGGGTCTAGAGACGCCCCACGGAGCCAGTACCTGATGTTGAAGTGAAACGAGTGATTACGAGGGTAGAGGTAAGCAAGTGATTACGAGGGTAAGCGAGAATGGTGGTAAACTTGTTGATCAAAATGGAGAGAAGAGAACAACTTGAAGCAGGACAAGATATGGTGGGAGAGCCTCGATAGATGTACTACATGTGTGGACTGACCTCATGCCAAGATGACCATCTTGCTCAACAACAGAACTACCGCAAAGACGTTGAGCCGGCGAGCAATACCCCGCCGTCTAGACATCAAGATGAGTTGCGTCACCCCTCCTCCAAGGACACTCCCTTCCTCGTAATAGTCCAAAAGCCACAGCATACTGAAATTACAGGTACATATACGCGGGGTCAGACAAGGTAACGGAAGAAGATCTGACGTACCCCTGTCTGAGCAAGTCACCCGTCCACATGAGCCAGTCACTCAGCCTTGGATGTGAGGAAGGAACCGCGAGTTGGAGAGGGAAGCACACTTCCTTCCTTGCAACAGACGACGAGCCACATCATATCAGAGATTACACGGGGGTAGACCAGAATCACCAGCCGTGAAATGAGGACGGATCCTTGTCCGGAGCAAGTCACCCGTCTACCTTAGCTGGTCACTCAGCGTTAGGGGGTGAGCCGAGAGTCAAGGAGGGTCAAGGAGGGAAGGAGCAGAGCCTCCAGCCACGGCTGTGCGCGCACGCAGTTGGTCACAAGTAGCGCAACCCAGAGGAAAGCAAAGGTAAGGTACTTGGCCGAGGTATCTTTTCTCGGGACCGAGAAAGCCCACAATCTCCCCTCTTTCGACTAGGTAGTTTATTTTCCCTTCCTCTTCTGCTCTTCCTACCTCTCCCTCTCGCACTTCTCCATCACATTTCTCTTCCATCAGCAACTTCTCTCACCACCTCAATCAACCTGAAACAGCAGACATTCTCTCTTTGCGCCTCCAATAACCACCACGAAGCAGACGAGATCTCCACTTGGGAACGCGTCAAGAGTATGTCTTTTCTTCTTGCCTTCTCTCATCGCCAGGCCATGCCGCTTGTCCTCATATTCTCTGAGTCGGTACTGACAACTTCTCCTCCTTTCAGCCATGCTTGTAGCAACAAAAGGCGCAGAGTGCTTCCGTCAGCTTCCCGGCTCCCAAGCCGTCTAAGGTTAGTTTCTGTCTCTTATCGTCGTTGACAGCGCCGTCCTCTACTACACCTACGCGCACCGCTTGGTTCAGGCGTTAGCCCAGATGTAGCATTGATCTGACAGAAGCCAATAGTTCAAGTTCGTTGTTCCTGCTCTGCCGCAGAGGGCACTAGGATTTTCAGAATTTTCTTGTCAGTCATCTTTCTCCTGTTCACTGATTTTCTTTTGGCTCGTCCCATGCCCTATCTAACACATCAGCAGACCCAGCACGCTGGTCGTGCTCCTAGCACCGTCTCTTTCCACAATGCTCATCCATTGCATCTCGCGCCGCCCATCACACATCTTTCCAGCTCTTCTCTTGCTCCTGCTAATCTACTGGCTTTGCCTCTGGGTGAAGATGGACCAGAGCCTGCGCCTGGCTGGCACGCCCGCGCGTGTCATCATCGGCGGTGGTGTCGCTGGCGATGCGGCGGGTAACGGACCCAATTGCATCGCCGCCGCCGTCGCCACCACTCAACCTGACACCACCGCCGATGTCCCTGCCGAGATCAGTGGCGTCGGTGCTGTTGCTGTTGCTGCTGCTGTTGCTGCTGAGAAGCCTGACAAGGCCGAGAAGACTGAGGAGAAGACCGAGGAGGCCGGCGACAAGAAGAAGCAGAAGAAGGAAAAGAAGGAGGAGGCTGCTGAGAAGAAGGTCGTCGCTAAAGATGTCGAAGCGTGGTGGAAGCAGGTGTGATGGAAAAGGGGAGGGAGTGACCGGCAGAAAGGAGGTTGTGAGCGAGCCTCGGGCTAGCACGAAGAAGCGCATGTATGTCCTGCCTCTAATTCCGGAGTTTTCCATCCTACAATACCACCACAATGCACTGGCATGTTCTGACCCTCTACTAGTACCATTCCATCACAGAGAAGCATAAGCCTTGGAGACGTTGAGAATGTCTAGAGGTACCTCTACTTCCAAGCAAAATGGTTCGCGTTCTGAGGAAAGCCCAGACCCGACAGACAACCTCGACTACAACTCAGCCTTCAGCTTGGCCCGCATCTTCTCCAGCTCGCGCGCCTTGACCGCCCGGGCCGGCGACAATCACAAAAACAACACCACCGTATCGCGATACCCAGACCAGAAGCCTCGCGCACCGAATCCTCGCTCTGCCGGGCCATTTGCTCCCGCCTTCAGCGGCGGCTGCAGCAGTATTTTGTTAAGGGTGAAGTTTGCCGATGGGTGTTGGTAGCTGGAGGGGTGCATCTTTGGGTGCATGTGACTCCGTTCGCATCGACCGTTACATGTACCTCTAGACGGGAGGTAGAGGTAGAGGTACCTAGATAAATAATCAAGGTACTTAGCTCTTCTTTAGCAATAAAATGTTTAATGTCATGTTGCTCCATCGTGCATTTCATGTTTGCTGCCAATGATCATGCCGCAACACAATCCTGGATCCATGGGACACACTCGGCATGGGTCAGAGTCCATTGTATCACACCCAGGGCGCAAGCTCGTGGAAAGGTCAATAGATAATGAACGGTCAACTATCGCAGCCTCCGTGATTTTCATGATGGTCTTTGTCGGAGATACTGCTAAGTGTCCTCCCGCCTTCGTGTGGAGTGACGGGAGTCACGGCAATAAGGTTCCACAACCATACTACTACCAAGGAGCCAAAGAGTTGACGATAAATCAGAAATAGACGGCAGGAGACATATTGAACAGTTGGTCGGTCAAACCTCTTGCATTGGAGAGGTATCGTCAAGTGTCGTTTCGGCGAACTCGGGGAGGTCCCAGTGCCGTGTCGGGCTGGGTGGGCATAATTGCAAAGGCCAAATACCAGAAGTAATTGGAACCAATATCCGATTAAGGCAAACACTCTTCTTTGGCCACAAGAAATGGATAAATGTTGTAGTGCGAGAAGAACTGGCTTCGAAACATGGCCGTCATAGGAGGAGATGTTCGACGCCTTTCCTTCGGGTGGACGGAAAATTAGGTAGCAGCACTACGAGGGCATGCAAAGAAGTACAAGGTTTCGTTTGCCACTGTCTTCATGACTGCTTAACAGCTACAAATCAAAGCAAACAACTGAACGAAGACGAGAGGCACGGAATTGGTTTGAACTTGATTGACTATCTGCTACCTGAAGAAGACGAAGAAGAAGAAGTAGACGAAGAGGGGAATGAAGAGGAGGAGGAAGAAGACGAAGACGAAGAAGACGAAGAGGCGAATGAAGAAGGTCAGAACTCCCGTTGGAGGATACATCCAGCTCCAACGTTCCCTTCCTTCCTATCATGAAACCAATGATGGCCTTCCCGCCCTCAAGAAGAAGAAGAACAAGAAGACGGCGATGAGCCAGGAGAAGTGATCCTCCGCTCTACCAATGTACAGGAATCCACCAACAAATCCAACGCGAAGACAACAGTTACAAAACTCAACCAAAAAAAGAACAGATGTGGAAGGCCCAAAGGCTAGTAAAATGCCAGGAGATAAGAGATATGTTGTGACGGCGTTGATGATTCCCGTGAGCAGGTATGTTTCCGCTGCCCTGTTGTTCCTCCCCGCCCAACGACCAATCAAGGTGGTTGTTTGCCATGCTGACCCGTGGGCCACAGGTAGAAGTGCGTGCGAAGACGGTGGCTAGGCTCGAAATTGTCGTAGCTGGCGCCGGACGAGGTGCGGGACTGTAACGGTAGAGGTAATAATTGTAGAGATAGGGTTCTCCCATGGACGAGGGGCTTTCGATCTGCATTGCGGTGGTGGTGGTCAGCATTTCGTCGTCTAGAGGTAGTCACGAAAAAGAGAGGAGAGGAAATGATAGAGAATCGAAATTGTAGCGGGGAGAAACTGACCGTGCGATCATCGCCAAGCAGGTGTATGCCGGCTTCCAGCTATGACAAGCTGTGCCATGATAACCAGCAAAGTTGCTGCCTCGATTGACGGCTTGTGTAGATGTAAGCCATCATGACGAAGGACTGCGTGATGTGGCACAGCCAATGTTAGAAGATGTCGCAGGGTTTTGACCATCGGAGGAGAAACCAGCGGGCAGTCGGAGGGGGGGCATACCTCCTCCTATGTCAGGTGGTGTGAGACATGGGCCGAAAAGGAAGCGGAAAGCAAGGAAAGTGGACCATTTTGCACTCGGAAAAGTTGATGTGTTTGATGATTGTTGAATCGTTTGTGTGTTGGCATTTGTGATCGTCTGCGGGAGGGCTGCTCTGGCTTCAATGTGTAAAAATGTGGAAGATGAGATGATTGAAGAGAATGGAGAACAAAAAGACGAGAAAAGCATGGGGGCATGGGCTGTCTTATAGAAATCCCGGGGCCACTGAGTGCATGCCACTCGTGGGTGCTCTTAACTGCCGCGCTGTACGCACATGCAACAGTGCCGCTCGCCTTGCCTGAGGTGTCCAATGCTGCACACCTGCAAAACCTGCAGCAGCATCTCTGGTCCTGATTTACCGTCCGAGCCTGGCAATTCCATGTCCATCGACATGACGAGATCTCGTTCAAAAAAGGGTTAAGGAAGGTTTGAAGGGTTTCTGCGCAGCCACGGACTGCTTTTAACTGGAAAGCATTATCTTGCCCCTGTGTTCTAAAATGCAGGACGCTTTCCGAACTGAAATAGGCAAAGACATCGAAGGCAGAGAGTGCATGATCTCAGGCTTTGGTCAGCCTCAGCTCACACTTTCAAACTGGAATTTGCGTTGATTCCACTTGGTTTGGAAGGCTTTAACGTCCTTTCCAGATTCCACTTTAATCGAGAAACCGGGAGGCAAAGCGACGGGATGGAAGCCTGAAGCAGTCCGGACTGAAGAAAGATGCTCCTCCGGATGGAAGGTTCGAAAGATCTCGTTGCTGGGAGAAGGTTACCTTAATCCCCCTCTAATCACGTACATGACAGCAAAGGCGAACACTTTCTCCTGAGCAGGGGCGCTTTTGTGAGGAAAATGCCCTGCTGTGTCTCTCAAATTTTCTTTGGTACCTCTAAAGATAGACACAAAGAGTTCACGGGAAGCTGGAGCAGTGGCGTGGAGTCAGTTCTCACTTTCAATAGGGTTCCTTCTAATCGTGATCTGAGCTCAAGATATTGGGGTTTGAAATGGCAGCTCTTTCGTTGTAGAGCTCGTCTAGGTACGTACCTATTCCTGAACAATAGAGGTAGGTACCGCAGCGGGAATATAGGAAGGGTTTCTAGTCTAGAAGGGGGTCGTCTAGGTAACCTAGGAACCTACGATCACCACCAACATCGGACGAACTAGGCCTCAAACTACTGCATCTGAATCCCATATCAACGGGGTAGCTACCGCCTCGATATTCAGTCATGACATCCTTACACCCACAAGCACCTCATGGCTTGTGACTTGTAATGACGGACCAAGATGTAGAGGTTCTTTCCAGGACTGGGTGGTCGGGGAGAAGTTGCAAATGCCCAATATCACATCATGCGGGAGCCGGCATGGCCTAGCTGAACAGTTGAGCATCGTTTCATTTGCCAAGGAAAGTGCTCTTGCCAGAATGCCAGCCCAGGGCAGTGAAATTCTGCAGCCTGTTGCGGGGAAGTGAATCTGTCTTGTATGATCGTTGTATCTTGATACCTCTACTTGTGTGTCCCGGTACCTTGCATCCCTCTAGGTTGCTTCTTGCCTCCACGGTGTGCTGGTGGTACCCTTGGAGGAGAAGACGAGGAGCATATTTGCGTGTCATGCCCGTGGCATACTTGAACGAAACTTTGCTCAGCCATCACTTTCCCGCCAATTCTACCAGGGCACTTTTTCATTCCATTCCAACACACAGTTCTTTTCGAGGTGCTGACGTTTTAAAAACCTTACCTTACTCGAGCTGTCTTTCGTTGCGCCATCATTGTTATTTGTCTTTGACACTACCATTTTCGATAACACTTCCAAAGAGGAAGCAAGTGGAAGGGAAGTGTACCTCTATCAACCAGGAGTAGCCTTCTCATCTTGGTCCGTGCTGCCGCTAAGGGCAACCTTCGAAACCCGACTTTGCCCAACAAAGCCAGCCCACTACTAAACTGGCGGTCGAGCTACAGCTAGCTCCCGTGGTTTCTTGTTTGGGCTCCTCTACGCTACCACTGCGACACCCTGCGACGTTCTCAAGATCCGACTCCAGGCCGGGGCCCGCAAGGGTGCCATCCACATCAACATCGGCCTCGGCCTGGGGCGTGAGAGAAAGAAGAGAGAGAGGCTTCCGTATGTCATTTGTCTCGTTTTCCTGAACTCCCATTTGGAACACACTTGCCTGTTTGTTGGGCATTGTTACCGCTACTATCACCGTCAGCTCAGACGTGCGGCTAACACTTATTCCGTTGACAGCTGCTCCTGAAACACACCCGAAGGCCACTCAAGTGGCAATCAGACAGAACTTCTTCAAGATTGACAAGAAGACGAGAAGTACCTTACCTGCCCGGTATGTAAGCCATATCTCAAGAGATTTTGACTTGACTTTCGGTCTGCGACACGTTGGCTAACCCGCGCCGGCCTTCTCGAATGTAGTTCAATGTTGCCGGCCGAGCGAACAAAAGAAATGTGACCCTTTCCGACTGGACGTATTTCGAAAACCTTCTCGAGAAGCAGTCCTTAGTGGATTCCGACTTCCATGGCCACCGTCCTGCTGTCAAGATGTACTGACGCCTTTCGTGGTGTCTGATGAGCGTCCACTCCGCCACCTTAACCCCGGTGCCGAGGATGAAATCGCCTTTCGCCTGTTCGAAATTGAGCGCCTCGGCACAGTCAAGTATGATGACTTCCGTCGCCTTTACGAGCTCGACAAGGCCCGGATAGCTGAGGCAGCCTGGCTGAGGTCATCCTTCGTTAGGCCAGTTAAAAGAGCCGAGTTAGAAAGATCACTCGCGCAGAAGACCTCAGCCAGGCTACCAAGATCAGGGGCACACAGGCGGAGGAGGAGGAGGAGGAGGAGGAGAACAAGAAGAGGAAGGACGAGTTGAGCAAAACGATTGTTTGTACGTAGAGGTACCTCTAGTGTAGGTATTTGGTTGATCCATACATGGATCAGTCTTGTGCAGAAGGACTTTCTTCTTCCAATGGACATGTTCATCACTCATTCTTCCATTTCCCGTGTCTACCTCTAGAGGTGTATTTCTTCTCCGCCTAGGGGCAATTTTCAACGACTTGGAAAGATTGTTTGGTGTACATATCTCTGTTCCAAGTCAGAACCTGATTGGATGCCTTTCATCCCTTTGCATAGGTTGATTGCTATGCGATGTTCGTTTAGGTAAGCTTGGAAACAGAGGGACCGAACCTTGAAGGAACGATATCACATCAAGGCCCCTGAACCTGCGAATAATGGGCCTCACGTTAAATCGGTTCACACAAGTTAGAACGTTGCTCTTGGGGAAGGTTGAGGCATTGTACGACGAGTGAATGTAGATAAAGGGAAGGCAAGTGAATGGTGTTGCATTACGACCATAAAATGGAAACAAGAAAGATTGGAGGTGTACAGGAGATAGTAAGAGACAACGGAACGAAGAACCTTGTTGTAAGTCTTTAGGAGCAGGTGAAAGCTCTTCGCAAGAGATAGAGAGCAACTGACCATACAAGATAGATTGAAACAACCGGGACTCCTATGATGTTTTTGACACAGAAAGAAAGAGGAGCAGACATGATACTGGAAAGACAAGACAGCGGGGAAATCGACGAGCCGGAAAAAATCAGAGTCCCCATACAACTATGTCTGAAAGCTTTGCGGTCAAACGATAGGTACCTACTTTTATGGTACATTCAAGGCGTCCCTCCTCGACACGGGAATTATCTATTTCCAAAAAGCTTCTCGATGTCGATGCGATCCATTTTCTGGAACCTATGTCCGTTGCATGTCAAAGCGTGTGCCACCAGACGTGATACTAGCTCCCGTAGGTACCTCTAGTCCAGAAAGAAACACCGCTCGCGAAAGCCCCACGGTGGCGCGGTGCCGCTCCGCGTGCGGTTCAAGGCGTACGGGAGTTTTTCAAGAAGAGCTTGTAACGGAAACATGCAGTGCACGATAGTATCAACAGGAAAGACACGAGCGAGCTCAACAGAGGCACCGGAAGAAAGAGCGAGCAGTAGCAAGACCAGGAAGATTCTGTCTTCTGTGTATAGACAGCCCGCATGACCTTTTCAAGTTCGTGCATTCCTCGAATGATTTACGGTCTCGTGAGACTTTGGGCTTCTTGCTCTTTCCTTAAAAGTTTCCGTACCTCTGCCTACCTGACAGCAGAGAGGGGCCGGGTTCGTTGGTGTAAGGTACTGCCGTACTGGGCAAGCTTAACTTCCCTTTTGGCCGGAAAGGAAAAAGTGGAACGGGTGCAGCCTGGAAGCAGCGCGAAGGAGAGCCGCCAATTTTGCCTATTTCACCCCACCTTCGCCCCTCCATCTTCTCATTTTCAACTCAGTCTTCAGCAGAACGAAACATCTTGACAAAAGCATCATCAACCTTTGTTTCTCAGCAGCAGCAGCAGCAGCAGCAGCAGCAGCAGAAGCTAGCACAGGCCTTCGGGTTATCAGCCTGCTCGGGGTTTGTGACATTGCCGTCATTTGCCTTTGTCAAGGCTGCCTCTACCCACGTCGGCAACTCGACTGCCATTGCCACTCACAACGGCGACCAACACCTCCCTTACAGCCAGAATATCCCCTCTCCGGTGAGTCCGGCCTCAACGCCGAGACTCCCATCAAGGGGATTGAGGGCTACAAGGACTACGCGTGACAAGACCAAGTCCCTTCGTGGTCAGCGGCCCTGCCAAGGTAAGATTCCTCGACAGAATACAAGACGCAAACACCATTCCCCAATCGAGATCTCCACGAGAACTCATCACAAGCGCTTGAAAACATGCTGGCCAGACTCCATGTACTCATCTTCATGCGAGTCTGATTCTGTTCTTCAAACGCCCATCGTTGTCGCACGCGATTGTCTCGCCCCTTTCGTCATCCTCAGCCGTCTCGACGGAGAAGCACATCACCCAGGACATACTGACACTCTTGTTACCCCTACGTAGTTAGCACACAAGATTCTCGAAAACTACAAGCCTGGCGACATTGTCATTGTGCATGATTACAACATGACGCTAGAGAGCTGAGAGAGAGACAGCACCCAAACAACAAGAGCGCTACCGAAATGTGCACCACCACCGTCACCATCGCTGATGCCGACGGGTTTTCAAACCTGCCATCCGAGGATGCCTCCATCTCCCTTGTCAAGAAGGTTCCGGCCCGGAAGCTCCATTGCTTCCGACCAACCAGTTGCCATTTCTCTAGCTGCTGCACCCGCGTTCTCGGCTTCCCCTCCGATACCATTTGGGGGCGGTGACTTACCGGCTGGTCGGAAAGTCCATGATTGTGAGCACTGGAAGTCCTTGGTACACGATTTGACTCTCAAGTTGACTATTTGACAAGCAGCGATGGCTAGAGCCAAAAGCGTTGAGCTCCTGCCGATGGCATTTCGAACAGGAGGAGCAGGATATGGAGAAAGAAAATGCAGCTTATGTGAATGGCCAGGAACATGTATGGTCTTGTGGTTCGCTCAATCAAACATAGTTGGCACCTTCCAGGCTGTGTACCTCTTTGCTGTACTTGCCGGCGTTGTCCGCTGTCCCGCTGTCCCTTCCATCCTGTTTGGTGTCGATGGTGTTCTACACTGACTGCTAACCCTCGACAGCCGCAGAAGATTCTCCACATCATCCCTTTCATCTTCCCCTTTTCTTTTCGTCTTCTTTACACAGGTCGTTAACTGTTTGCATCTAGGTTCATTGTCGTCGCACCGCGTTGCCAACCTCGCTATGTCGCCCCCGCCTAGCGCCGCAGATTACCCAGCCCACCAATCACGAGCTGTCACAGGACCCACTTTCAACGACATCTGAACGGCCGCAGCCCCTTTTCGTTGTAAACAAAGCATTTCGGTCGCTGCGAAAAAGCGGGAAACAACGAATTTGGTATCAAAATGGCCAAAACAATTGTGATTTCTTTGATCAGGTGGCGGATAAAGGGGGGGAATGGGAATATGAAAGGAAACGGGACAAAACACCATGATGTACAACGAACGGCTGTCCAGCTTGTGTTGGAGTTCTGCTGTGGCGTTTGCGCTGGATTCCAGGAACAAAAGACAGCGGAGACACGAGACCATAGGTATTCCACGGGAGCCAATGGTACATAGCTGTTGAAAAGATTCTTGGTTAATTACACCGTAAAATACGGACATTTAAAAACCAAGCTTACATTCATCGGATTCCCATAATTGCCGTGACGGATTGCACTGAACATTGGCGAAGAAATGCCGCATGAAACACTCGCGGAAAACACAATCCAATTCAAAGTTCGACAATTCCCACATTTTCAGATTTCATGAAAAGTGCTTTCTCATGCTGATCTGGGTAATTTGCATCGGGCTATCCACCCTCGCTCTCTGGAACGGCGACTTAACATGGGAACATCAGACAAAGTCTCGGTGACGGACTTTGTTCACTCTGGACACAGATATAAAGCTGATTCCACCGACCAAAACATGAGTTCAACCGAAATGACTGGAGCAATCTCTTGGTAGCCTCTTCGACGCAGATAATTACAAAATGATATCAGGCACAAAATGATATCAAGCTCACGGACTGGTGCTCAAAATGATGGTGTAGCTGGTGATCACCGTCACATCACAATGAAAATTGGATCAACTGGTCCCGTTTCCGGGCGCAGACTCGTGTTTGAAAACCGGTTAAGCTGGCAACGCCCTTGGATCATAGAAAGTGTTTTCAGTTAGGTAATCATTTGGATTGGCGCTCAGGCGCAGGTTTCCGGCGTGGAGACTGAAGAGTGGAACGATGGATCGAGCTCACGAAATCACCAGCAACAAGCCAAACGGCCAAATCACTGTGAAAGCGACGTGATATATCCAGTGGAAACGACAGGCGTGGAAATTCGTAGCAAGGCATGTCCGATTTACAGCTAGAGCTGATGACACTCCTACAAACTTGGATCGCACTGAAATAAAATGATTGCCCGGTCTTTCAGCACTCTTCTCCAACGCGCCGTTTCAAATCATGGTATACTGCGCGCAGAATCTATTGTGCTTTTAATGTGCACAACACAGTAGTAGATGGTCACTTGCAGATGATTCCTGGCCCGAGTCTGATGAAAACACGATACCTGGATTCCGAGAAGGAGCTCAACCAGGCCTCACTGCTCATTTACCCGTGATTCTGCCCACATCAATGCCCGCTTCAAAATGAAGCTGACAGAATCTGCTTTCGATATACCCAGCAGCACAGTCACTTGCAAATAGCTTCCGCTTCATCACAGATAACAACACAATACTTAGATTCCCAAGAAGATCTCAACCAGGGCTCACTAGGTTCCCATCTGCCCGTTGCCTGCCTAGTGCCCCTCAAGCGGTGAAAGAAAGAAGTCAAAGCTCGATGCCGGTACCTGTTTACGTACCTTCCAACCGGCAACCTGTCGCGTCACCGTTTCCAGGGCAAAGCAAACAGTCCAGGCCACAAAACAAAACCACTGACCCACAACAGCTGGTCTGAACTGTTTCGCCAGCCGCCTCAACAGACCAAAGCTCCTGTTGCTTCCCGTCCCATATCGTCACGTCATCCCTCCACAAGGCCAATGAGATTTTCCCCTCGAGGCACAAGGCTGTTCACCGCGATTCTCTTGGTATCTATGACAAATGTATTGCTCCCGTGTGACTCGATATTGTTTTGAGATCCCGTCTTTCTTGCTCAAAATATCTGCAGGTGATGGGACGAGTGACTGTCCCTTTTGCTCGTCCCATTGTTATTATAGACTGGACAAGTACCGGAGAGGGATCAAATCCTTGTCTTCGAGCTTCTCAACCTACCAGAGAGCTGCTTTCTCAAGTTTGTATCTCCACAGATACTTACTCCTGCTCGTAATTCACAACTCCTGGACTTGTTGAACAACGGGACGAGCAAGTTATTCATCCCAAGCAATTCAAGATGTGAAGAGAACCCCGCAGAAGATTGTCGACCTCGCCTTTCCCACCCTCGACGAACCAGAGTGCTCCGTTGCCGTAGAGATATTCCCACCGTGCCTTCGTGACCATAGTCAGTAAACCAGTTGTGGGGCTCTGTTTATCTTTCAGCCGTCGTCTGGTCTTCTTTGCTGCCTTTTGGCTTGGCCCAGACCGTCCAGACCGCCCTGCCTTGCGACTGATTCCCTTTTCGGACGGCTGGCATAGCAGCTTTTGGTTTTGAGTGGGCCCTTTTGGACAGTCTGCCACCGTTGTCCTGCCAATAAGCAGCCTCGTACAGTTTGTGATTGCACACACAACGTCAGAATCAGTCCGCCTGGCCAACAAATCCTGCGCTCTTCGCCCTACTTTTTCGTCCCGTCTTCTGAGTCCCCGTCTCGTACGATTGTTTGCTCCCTTCGAGTACTTTCCTTTTGGCTTTCCCCACCGGGAATTTCTATTCAGGAGGACTGATTCTGTCAGCTGGCGACCCCTCCCTCTTCTCCCTCTCTCCCTCCCTCTCCTCTATTTAAACCCCTCCTCCTTCACCTTTCCCTTCTTCTCAAACCTTCCCTCTTTCCTCATCTCTTGTCACACCCATCTTCCTCTTCTTCCTCTTCTTGTTCATCATCCATCATCGCTCACTTTGAGCTTCACGTCTTAGGTAAGAACAGATACTAGCACGAGCAGACTCTCCCATGATGAAAACCAAACTATCTGAGCCGCCAGCCTTGCTGCCTTGATGATACCGCCATTATCTGATTTGGGAAAAAAACACCTCACCTAACCGGACATCCTTGTGTTGTCAAGCAGTTTACTGACGTGTTCTTTTTCTCAGGATCAATCATCATCATCATCATCGCTCACTTTGAGCTTCACATCTTCAGGTAAGAACAGATACTAGCACGAGCAGACTCTCCCATGATGAAAACCAAACTATCTGAGCTCTGATGATAACGCCATTACTGATTTGGGAAAAAAACACCTCACCTAACCGGACATCCTTGTGTTGTCAAGCAGTTTACTGACGTGTTCTTTTTCTCAGGATCAATCATCATCATCATCATCACCACCACTCATTCAGTCTTCAGCTTGCGACACACACACACAGACACATTCAGGTAGGTCCTACTCCTACTTAGCTTCATTCCTTGTGCGCGGCAGAACCCCCCATGTGACGATGAAGAATACCCATCGGCTCCTTAATGTTGATTCCTCTCTTGTCACGCCTCAAACGCGATGCCTCATGAACGCGAGGTGGAGATGCCAACACTGATGTCACGGGTTCTGTTCCCTCTTTGTCTTCAGACTTTGATACGTGTGTTCGGTTTGGCTAACTTTTATTTCCTTGCGATCATCATCTCAGGTCTTCATCATCATCATCATCATCATCGGTCTTCAGTCTTCAACAGTCAGCATCTCTCACATACTCTTTCATCAGGTAGGTGCACCTACTTAGCCAAGCCTTGGGATGTGGGATCGGTATCAGGACCACGGGGCGTGCATGCCAGGGACAGGTGGCTGTGCTGGACGCAATGACAATATCAATAACAACAAGACCCTCCGGGACCGAGTCTGGGGTGACCAAGGAGGATGGGCCTTGGCTAACTTTTTCAGTCTTCATTGCAGGTTCTCATTGTCTTCTTCGACTCGACACATTCGTGTGGGCAGCTTTCGTGCGACCGGGGGCTGCGGGGGGGCTGTCCGGGACTTTGCCCTGGGCACCTCTCTGCGGTTTTCCTCTCTTCGTCGACTGTTGTCTTGCCTTCAACAACAACATGAACTTTAAATGTGAGTGGACCCGCCACCTACTCACTTAGCCCAGCCAAACTCCTCCTTGCATGCCAAAGCTTGGGGGTTGTCTGTGTGTCTGTGCCTGTTCCAGGGAGTGGTGACCTTGGTTCAGGAGGACTGTTGGAGAGTGCCCTTCGAGACTGCCTCCTCGTTGCTTCACACAGTCGACATCCATCACTCGAGACGTCGTCAACCTTGTTTTATGGATTGGGCTAACATTATTTTTGTGGCGGTCAGGTTGTCTTCGCTTCGATCAATGCGAAGTTTCAGTTTGCACAGTTCAACGACACAGCGACAAAGACATCAGTCGCCGGCGCCTGCGACCGCTGCACAGCCTGCAAGTCAGCAACAGAGTCCACATGTCAACATATCAACTCTCGACAACTCTTTGCATCAAGTAAGTGTCTCTCGCTTACCTTTTCTGCCTTTTGTCATGATGAGAACGAGTGGTCACATACGATTTTTCGTCCCTGTGCTGTATCCATGTCTGAAATTAGCCGGAGGTTGTGCATAAGCCAACATTTCCACGCTGATGGAGGAAACCACTCTACCTTACCGTAGATAGCGTGGGCGTCCCATTCTTTCACTTCAACTCTGAGACACCTTTCATTGACACCTGTCTTTGACTCTTGAGCATCTGACTTGATCATTGCTAACGTTTCCATCATAATGCTCACAGGTGGCCACCGCCGCCCAAGACGGTTCAAGCTCATTTCGACAGTCTAGTCAGCCAGATACTTCCACTTTGTAAGTGTTTGTCTCTCACCTGTTTGTGCTTTCCTTGCCAATGATGAGAAAGAGTGGCCATCATACGATCTTTTTCGTCCCTGTGGCATCATGCACATTTCTGAAATGAACAGGGTGCTGTAAATTGGCGGTGGTGCTTTGGAAAAGGAGATTCGGCATCTGCGCTCAGCATCTCCTCGTTGATGCACAAAATCACTCTTGTGCTGTAGATAGCGCGGGGTGGGATCATCACACTTAAAAACTCTGAGGCTCTGATCATTGACACTTGTCTTTAACACTTTCGGTCTTGGACCGTCTCACTTGGGCATTGCTGACCATTTCTGTAGCAGGTACCAGGACGGCCACAAACTTCCACTAAGATACGGACAACTTCAGCGTAAGCATCTCTTCCTGTCTTTGTTTTCCCTTGCTTCGCCATGATGAGAACGAGTGGCCAGCATACAATTTTTTGTATGTGTGGCGAGTCTGAAATCAACAGGGTGCTGTAAACTGGCGGTGGTGCTTTCGGCATCTGCGCTCAGCATTCCCTCGCTGATGGACCAAATCACTCTACTGCAGATAGTGTGGGGTCCGATCTTTTTCTCTTCAATTCTGATGAGGCGCCTTCATTGAGACCAGTCTTTGACTCCTTGAGCATCTCGCTTGAACATTGCTAACTTGCCTTGTTCAACATCGCGCTCACAGATTTCCATTGCCAAGGGCAGGTTTTCAAGACTCAGATCGTCAGTCTGGTCAGAGATCATCAACTTCGCAGCCGCCCCTGGTCGGCCAAGCAGTACGCTCGCGAGAGAGATTTCCGCAGCCCCTCGCAGAGTAAGTCTCAGTCTTCAATCTGTGTCGTCGTCCTCTTTCGAGTAGTGTAGATAAATTAATAGCTGCGGGAAGGCTGTTCGGGTCGTTGGCCTGGGCACCTCCCCGCGGTGACCTGCAAAGGAAACCTTGTCCCAGTTCAAGGAGTGTTGTTATCGCGTGGTTCCCTACGGTCTGCCGGGGAGTCGACGATAACAGAACACGAACCACCTCAGCCCCGTGCCAGCAAAGGCTTTGTCTCTGACGGACGGCATCTGAGAAGATTCTGTAGGCGCTAGGGAGTACCCCATAAGCGTCAAGGGATGGCCCGGGTGGGATCTGAAAGTCATCACGAGCTTGTGTCTCTGTCATAGAGACAACCAGCGGTGAGTCGACTTCCATTCCATGTTTTTTTTCTCTTTTTTTCTTTTTTTTTTGCTTCCATGATGATTGCCACTGGATTGAGGGGGACAAGCAGATGCTTGAGATCCCGACTGAACGCTTTGGAGATTTTCTGATTCGAAGCAATGTCTTTCTTCTTTCAAAGGCAGCTTACGTTTGTGGAGAACTTTTACTGTCAGTGTTTGTTGCAGGTTTTCGGTCTTTTCTCTCCATAGCTCGCATGGCGAGAGATTTCAGTAAGTCAACAGACTCCCCTTTTGCTTCTTCCAGCCTGGCCAATGACGACCATTCAAACTTCTTTCTGTTCTTTCTTCGAGGGCGCAAAGCTTCCACAGTCGAGGACTGTCACGGCTCCATGAGAGTAAAACACGTGCTGAGGCCGCCAGAGATCATGCAACACTTGTCGGCATTTTTCTGTCATTGGCTCTTTGCTGACATCGTGCTCTTTGCAGGTTTTGGACTGGATCGCTTTCTTCAAAGCCTCGCCGCAAGTCATAGTCAGAAACTTAGAGGTAAGCAAGTCAGACATTCCATTTGCCCCTCCCACTTATCGCCTGCACACCATGATGATCAAACAATCTGCCTTATTCGTCGTTTCGAGAGTGCAAAGCCTCCACAGTCAAAAACTGTCACGGCTCTATGAGACCAACCAATACCAAACGCACTGATTTCACCAGGCTTCTTTCGACACTTGTCGGCATTTCTCCTCATTGGCTCTTTGCTGACATTAATACCATCGCAGGTTTTCGGCTTCACCTCATGCTCAAACTCGAGTAAGTCATATTCCTCGTGCTTTTCCGACTTCCTGTGTGCATATGATGACCAAGCAATCATCCTTCTTCTTAATTTGAGGGCGCAAAGTCTCCACAGTCGATGACTGTCACGGCTCCATGACACCAAAACCGCAATCTGAATCCATCAACACGTCTTTTCAGTATTTGTCAATATTTTTCATGGCTTGGGCAGTTCACTGACGGTTCAGCACATACTGCAGTTCTCTCGCTTCCACCTGGCCGCAACTCAACCACTTGGTAAGTCTGTCACTTGATCTTCACTTCCACTCCTTCACTTGCCATCTGATGATCACCCAATCATTTCAAGTCCATTTGCTTCTGAGAGTGCAACAATTCGACACTTCGACTCCTTCATGACGCAGAAAGAAAGCTCTGAGGCAAAGCAACAATAATTGCACTTGCATTTGAGTCTATGATCCTGATAGGAAACTGACTGCCTTGCTTTTTTCAGGCACTTGTCCTTCTTCCTCTGGCCAACACAAGCAGCACTTTGGTAAGTTCACTTCCTTTCACTCCCACTCCATCGCTTGCCATCTGATGATCACCCAATTATTTCTTGTACATCTGTTTCTGAGAGTGCAACAATTCGACACTTCGACTCCTTCATGACGCAAAAAACCAATTCTGAGGCAAAGCAACAAAATCCGCACTTGCATCTGAGTCTTTGACTTTGGCAAGGATACTAACTGCCTTTCATTTTTTCAGGCACTTGCCCCTCTTTTTCCTCCGACTGACAAAAGCTGGACCTTGGTAAGTCACCACTTCTCTCTCACTTTCTTTCACTCCCACCCCAAGCTTGAATATGATGAAACCAAACTTTTCCCATGTTCATGTACTGAGAATCCAACACTTTCGACTGTTCAATGACAGAGAAAAAAGACCCATGCCAATCTGAAACCAAGCAACTTTGTACTGCCTTTGCAATCACTTTGGTACCAGTTGACTTTGATCGCGGCTAACAGCAAAGTCTTTGCAGGCACTCGCCTCCTTCGCTGCTCCCCAACGCTTTCCGTCCACGAAGACACAGCGCAAAGTCCACCAAAAAAGAACTCGGCAAGTTAACTCTGAATCCATGCTCGACACTATCCACAAGCACCTTCACCACAGCCTGGCCTTATACATGATGAGACTTCCTTACAAACCCAGGGGTTCCTCGACTGAGGGGGTGATTCCCCAAGAGCCCAATGCAGATACTCACCCTGGTGATCTGATCTCAAAGCCAGCGACCTCCACTTGGCTCTCACTTGTGCTTTCTGTCCATGCCCCTGCTAACCACTTGGCTCCTTTGCCATTATTCTGCTACACAGGTGTCCCATCGTTCGAACTCCTCAAGTCCTCAAACAAAGTCTTAGCGGTAGGTGACTCCCCCCAGTGCTCCCGAGATCACCAGCGCCAAATACCTAGAGGTACCCAGAATCTTGCCAGTGATGACAAAAAACCAGCGTTCTTGTACTCGAGAAGCATCAACATCGCTCGATGAAGACAAATCGGCAAGTGTCTGAGGCAGCAACCAACAACTTTGGTTCCATCTTTGACGCTGATGGGGAAAGACTTGACTTTTGCCTTTTCAGTGTACAGTTACTAACCGCCAGCAACTTCTGGTTGTAGGTCTGGTTCTTTCGCAGTCATCCGTTGAATCCAAAAGTGGAAGTCAACGACGTTGCCGTTACACCATACCCGAAGACCTACTCGATCGTGAACGACCGAGCGATGAAGCCAACAAGCGACGAAGAGAAAGAAAAGTAAGCCGCCTGTCCGGTCCTGTGCAAACACCACACCAACGAATTCCATGATGAAAGCATCTTCAAGTGAAGCCCGAAAACAAAATAAAACATATTTATCCATGAGGACAAGAAAGACTCGTACTCATTCCACCTGACTGGAAGCACCACGCGCCACTCTCTAACGCGAACACTTGTTTTTGAGAGTTTCAGCTGACTGCCGCGCTCGCAGCGAGCCTCGGAACGAAGCAAAGCCACCAAACAGCGAGAAGCAATCCCGGCTTCAAATCTTTCATGCACTTGCCGTCTTCAAGAGATGGGCAAAAAGGTACGTCGTTCGCATCTGCTAGTTCCCTTCATTAGACCTGCTCCATTCCATGATGACAAAAGTCTTGACTTTACAAAGAACCTGTTCCTTCTGGGGTCGGTTCAATGATGAAACAAAGAACCTACGAGCTTTTCTCTGAATTTGGAGTATCCATCTCGTTTGCCTACCAAAAACGCAGAGCTTCAACCTGGGATCATTGTTGCTAATCATCTCGTCAGGCACCCACCCGCCTTCTTAACCTTGAGAAGCCTTCTTTGATACCGTTTGCAGGGTAAGTCGTCCGTCCGTCCGTATGTCTACTGCTTTCCTTCTCGTTAGAGGTGGCTCTGCTCCCTGCCATGATGACCCAAGTCAAAGCTTCTACACTTGCAAAGGGAAAGTCACTTTGTGACGGGCTCAATGAAGACACAGAGATCTGATGTAGATGGGGACGCTCACCGCGCGTGTATAACCAGGCACTTCCTTTGGAACGCATGTTACTAACCACCAAGCTTGACAGCAGCATCGCCTTGGACCATTTCGTGGAAGCCCAGAGACTTCCATCTCAACTGCAAGGTAAGCTGTTTTTCTTCTGCCTCTTTTGTCCCGTCAACTTTCTATCCATGATGAACACAAATCTTAGACAAACATGTCGAAGAGCCATCACTTTGTGGTCAGCTCAATGACGACACAAAATTGCTTAAATCTGACTTTGGAGCACTTACCGCGCTTGTCATCGCCACTCTCCGGCTGTAATCTCGGTGCTAACCATCTGCCAACCGACCTCTAGATTTCCGTGCGCGCCGCCGCCTCGTACATCGTTGTGCTCCTCGACTCTTACCCGACCGGTCTCGACTTCCCTCCGAGCCGCGCCCGAGGACGGCATCCCTACTCCCTCCTTCGGGCTAGTGGGCGCCTGAGGGCCGGTTTCGAGTCCACCTACAAACCTCATCATCACCGCATCACACTTCAACCTGTGGTGCGGTCGCCCAGCCTGCGAGCTTAAGGCCCCGAAAGCTTCTCTCCCCATCAACTGGGGTAGATCTAAGCGGGCAGCGACCGCAGGCTGGGCCGGGCTGGGCCGCCCACCGATTGAATTCGTCCTCCATCTCCTCCGAATCTCTCTCGTACCGAGTCCACTGCAGCCTCGCCCGCATCTCCCTAAACCGACCAAACCCCAATGTGCGCTCCGCGACAGGGCCGTTCTTCAAAGATTTCCATGGCAACAACATGCGCCGCGACCACAGCAAAACCCCGTGCTTCTTATCTGCTTCCTGGCAAGACTCGCCCAGTAGCAAAGCCAGCCCCAAAGCCAGAGCCTACGAAGGCCAAACCAGCAAAATCGTTAGTCAAGGCAGAAGCAGCAAAGCCATCTGCCGCAGTGTTTGCGTTCACATCCAATGATCAGGTCAGTCACCTCACCCTTTGGTTGCCGTCTCAGCTTGTACTGACCAGCTGTCTGTTACAGACGAGGACCTTGGCCTGACAGGTGTTGAGACTCCCCAAAAATCGTCATCTGGACCCGTCGTCCGAACTTTCAAGCCCGCCTCACTTTTGCGCTGGCACTTTTAAACTTCCATGGCTGGAAGTACTTTTCTTTTCTAAGGCCGCTGCCGCCAAGAAGGATGAGTCTTCTGAGTCTGAGGCTGAGAAGAAGGAAGTCAAGAAGGAAGCCAAGAAGGCTACCAAGTCTGACAGTTCCTCGAGCGACAGGTCTTCCAGCGATTCTTCGTCCGACTCTGAGGACGAGAAGAAGACCGACAAGAAGAAGGCCACAAACGAGAAAACAAAGAAGAACACCCCCCCCCCCAAAAAAAAGAGAAAAACAAAGAAACAAAAAAAAATTGACAAATCAAAAGACCAAAAAAAAAAACGACAAAACATGAAAAAACACAAAAAAACCGAGAAACGAAAAAAAAAAAAAAAAAAAAAAAAAAAAAAAAAAAAAAAAACGAAAAGGAAGGAGGCCTTCGTCACTCTGTGTCTCTTCCTACAAGCACATTTAGAATTGACTCAGTCTAACTTCTGCAAATCCAAGAGCAAGAAAAAAAAAAAAGAGGATGAACAAGGAAGCACACCTGGCAGGGAGACAAGATGAAACGACAGGTACAACATACCTTTTTGTTCCTAAGGGAACAGTTCACTGCCAATCATGATCGGCCACGGTCAGGCCGAAGAAGGGCTCCATGAGAAGGAGAGAAAGAGGACAATGGTGGGAGTGGCCCCAGCCAGCCTGGCACCTACTCAGGAGCCGGGTGCGGCCTGGCGTACAGTCCTCGGCGGTACCGGTCTGAACGTCGGCTGCATTCCTCCCTTTACTTACAAGAAGTTCGGACAACAGTTTCAATGTTCAAGTTGTTGCCCAGTGCACGAAAAGGTAGCCATCTCAACAACTCGCATCTCTACCACCAGATCCTCGACGACTCGAAACATCGCGGTATCGATGTCGGCGATGTCAAGTTCAACCATCACGGGCGCCGGCTTCGACCACCCAGCCAGCCAACATGTTGCCTGCTTGGTCTCTCAACTGAGCCCACGGCCAAAGGTGTCGAACCCAACGTGACCAAAACCCATTCGGGTTTGCCAGTCATTGACTCCAAGGGAAACCAACACGAACTTGATGACATGGGGTTTCTTTCCCGTGAGGAAACCACGAGGCACACAATGGGGATCCGTTGAGGGAAGCAGCTACCTCTGGGCATGAGCTGCATATAAGGCCCGTCAACGGAGCCTTCAACTCCCTCAACAATTAGAGAATCAACAACGCTACGCTGGTCCACGCATCACTTGATGTCAAGACATTCATGGATGAGCATCGCCTAGACATAGGTATGTCTCTGCTCGACTTGAACTTGTGGAATATGTACGGCACGGAATAGGCGCCGCCTTTCTACCCCGGCATGAACATGTACCAGCAACAAGTAAAGAACCCCCTTCCATTGCCGGGGTAGAAAGGGAGGGCGGTAACAGCAAAGTTAGCTGGGTTCTGAAAAACGGGACCTTCCGGAGATGTCCTTGGGAAGTGGAAATCCAAAAGACTGGAGAAGATGCGGACCAAGCTGGAGGCCAAGTTGTCGAACGAACCTCTTGAGAAGAAGAAAGGAAAAAAGAGGAAGAAAGATCAGCACCCGTAACACGAACAACACAAAAACAGCGCCCATTGCACCATCACAATTAACAAGTCGATTCGGTATTGGGTGATTCGCTCTTCTTAAACCTCCAAGTCCCATAGGAGCCTGAGGTGATTACCCGAACCACCATATTCAGATCCCCGAGAGGTCCCCCGAGAGGCAAGAGGTAGTTCAAGGTGCCTAGTTTTGGTTAGGTGCAGACTGCGGTCGTGCCAAGCGCAAGAAGAGAGTCGATCCAACAACGCAACGTGATCCATTGTCATCGCCATCGCCATCGCCATCGCCATCGCCATTGCCTTTCTAACACCAGATCTTCAGTTGCACCCATCCAGCTCTTCAATCTCGCTGAAACCACCGGCAAGGCCACACTGTCGTTGGCCGTGCAAGGCAGCTAGCTCTTTGACTCTTTGGCTCGCCCCTCACGGTCCAGTCCAGAAGAAGTGCCAGCGCTCGTAGGTAGAAAAAAGTGAGTGGAAGAGGCGGACCTCAAAGTTCGGACGACGACGCGTCAGTCCAAGTGACGCGAACCTGCCAAGTCGGAAGGTACTTTCCGGGAGCCATTCACTATCGGTGTTTCTTTCTTCTGGGCCCATACATACACCCACAACAAGAAGACAACAAACACTCAACAAGCTGGGGCGTCCTATACGTCGTAGAATGCGAAACTCCGACGACACCAATCGCAAGAAGAAGCTGATCCCCGAACTCGGTTTCTGCGAAGAGGTGGCGCTAGTGGTGTGGAGAAGTAGAAGAAGAAGAAGAGGAGATAGCAGGCAGCCGTCGTCCAAGCTGCAGACAGAGAATTTCATCGCGAGGGAGAAGATGAGGCTTAGGGCGAACATGTGCCAGCAACAAGCAACGCTCCCTTCCATTGCTGTGGTGGGTGTCAAGCCCGCGAGTTGGAGACGGGAAGATGCGCGCCAAGCTGGAGGCCAGTGTTTTCTAGCCTAGCCAGAGCCTGCTCGACCATTGAGAACTCGGAGCCAAGTTGGATGAAGATCAGATCTGGATCTGATACTTGAGTCTGTCAACTAGTCAGTAAGTAAGTTTCTCCTCTGTCCAGCAGTCACACATACCTACCTTCCCCATCAGCCATACCCAGCCCCCCCACACACAGCCCTTATGCACAACCGTCCGGCAAGCCCAGTCTTTCCGGTCTCGAGTCCACGACCGGGAGGGCTGTAGGCATACCCTAGATCGCAAATAACCCCAAATTGCCGAAGAATAATGCATCCCAACGACAACACCCATGCAGAGATCTGTGGAATATACCATCGGCGATCAAGTCTCCTTCGTCCGTGTGGAATAGCAGTTCTTACATCTCCCCATTCATGCACTTGATATCTCGCCCTGGCTGGTGAGATCCCGGGGCATACACCTCTTACACACAATTGTCCGGCAAGCCCAGTCTTTCCGGTGTCGAGTCCACGACCGGGAGGGCTGTAGGACCCTAGATCGAAAAGGAAATCCCACATGCCGAAGAACAACGTGTCGTGTCTCTCCAGCGATGCGGAGATCTGTAGAATATCTACCTTCGGCGATCAAGTTTCCTTCGTCGTTTGGAATAGCAGTTCTTACATTCCTTCGCTCACTTCCCCCCATTCATCATTTCTCTCTTGGCTGTTGAGGGTTCGAGGGAAACAAAGAGCACTTGCTTCAATGATGAAAACCATTGATACATAAACTGTGAAACAACCACTTGCTCGCAAGGCGAAGAGGGGGTTCATGAACACCATACTGAAAAGAATCCGATACGAAGCAAGTGCTTGAAATACTGAGGATGACCGAAGCGTTCAATTGGTTTGGAAGAGCAGATGCTAACACTGATTGCAACGCAACAGGAGACGACTACCCAAAGGTCAACAGCAACCACACCATGATTGGAGAGCAGCAACCACCACCGATGAACTCGACAGCCCGACCAAGACGGTGATGCAGTCAGTTGGCCATCACAACTGGATTGGCTGACTTTCGATTCAGCAATTAACCGTCTTCAACAACAAAAGGGCATGTCTGAGTAGTACCAACGGAAGTGGAGGAACGGAAAAATGCTGGAGGGGTGCGGTATAGGGAAGCCAACCAATGTTCAGACTGAGCTTTGTAGCAATGCCAGTTTTATCACATCTCCAACGAGAAAAGCGAGCAAACACAGCAGGGAATTAGTGGCTCCCTAGTAGCAAGCGGTGTTTTGGAGTCAGACGGGGTCAGTAAGTTGACTTTCCTCCAATCCACAAGTGTTTCCGATGACCGAACAGCCCCAGAGCATTTTCATGATGAACACCCTCACATATGACTACTTCTGAGTTTCTTCGAAGCAATGAAGGCAAATATTGATGAGATCTGATAAAAACGGCACACCACTTGGTTGAAGCACCTCCTCTCCTTTGAAAGGACACTGCTAACAGAGCATACTTTTTCCCGGTAGACCTCTCGATCGCCACTTCGACCCTTGGTCCTGGGTACTGCCTTTAGCCAACACTGTAGCTTGGTAAGCAGGGCACTTCCAGCTAATGTGAAGACTTGCTCCATGATGAAGACCACTGCAAAGCATCTGTAAACCGAAAGGTTGATGGTGACAGGCAACAATAAACCATATAAACCAAATAAGAACGCTCTGAAAACAGCATGACTGTGCATGTCCTTGTAGATCACCATTTCTTCGGGCAGTACGGATGATAACCACATGTACCCGTATTTAAAGCAGGACTTGCGACTGGAGCGGATGTAGGCCACTGAGGTGGTAAGAAAGAATCAACATCGTCGCTTGGTAGAACACTTGTCAGTACTCCTTTGGAGTTTGCCGTTTCCTTAGCGAGTACAGATGCTGACCATATTCGACCACGTTTGAGGAGGACTCGATGCCTATGTGGGCTATCACGAGCGTAATGGCACCGCCTCCACGTCCGGAGCCCACCCAGTAGGCCCGTGATATATCCGGGTTGAACAGGGCTGCGGAATTAGGGAAGACGAGGATCAAGCTGGTTAGAAAACGAAAAAAAGAGAGGCGGCATCGTGAACGTATTCAGGCTGGTTGGACTCGGCTGAGGCATTGTGGAAGACGCCACCACAAAAGGCTAGCTGGACAAGAAAAGCAAGATATTTCAGGTAGAAAGGAAATTGGGAAAGGCTGTGAGATAGATTGAGAAGGGCGTCAAAATTGATGCTGGATGGACATGCGGGTGAAAGCTTTTCGTCTAGGGAAAGAAGATACCTTGCCCGTTCCGAGCTTCACTTATGGCCTTTGTGAAGTAGCCGAAGAGGCAACGTAAGTACAGAGTATGGGTGGTGAAGAGTGAGGGGCGGAAGGGTAGGTAGATGGTGATTTGGATGTTTGGAGGTATAGCTCATGCCTGTCAACGCAGTTGGGAAGTTGGAATGCAGTGAGCGATTGCACCCTCAACTGGGACAACTGGGACCTCGGTTGGACACGAGAGGACATTCAGGGTTGCAATATCGGTACTATTCTATTTAATTGATGCAGCATTAGTGTGGAAGTCTGTTAGTACACTAACTTCAACCTAACTGTGTCTCCTACTCTTCTGGCCCGTGCACCAGCGCCTCCTGTGCCTGCCGAGGCCTGCGTGCTGCGCCTCTTTTCCTGTCATTTCTGTCGGTCGCACGGCGGACAGTGAGCGGCAAGTTCCATTCTTAGAAGCACGGATCACACCCTCCCAGAAAAAAAAAACACGACGAAGGAGGCAGTGCAGAATGCTGACATGATTGAAGGAGTGAAGATCGCGCCAATCGTTCTCCTGTAGATCATGGATTGGCTGGTCAGGACGGTTTTTGTGGAATTTGGGGGGCAAGCAGAGGCCTGCGAAGCGGAAGAGCCACCAGGATTTTTAGCGAGCAGCGGACGAAGCTGAAGGTCGGGAGGTCAAAGTTCACAAAATATGGGAAGATCAATTGTTGATTCGTTGACTCGACTCGACACATTCAATTCGCAAATAAGATGCAAAGTTGAAGATAAAAGTTGAGGCGTGAAACTGGACCCGCAGTTTCGGATGCTGGCATCCGGACGTCATTTAGGTTTGGAAGCAAAACACTGACTGACTGTGTGGACATTCGACACAAGTTTCAAACGGGTGGCACTGGAGATTTCAAGATTGAGCGATAGGGTAGAGGCAATTGAGATATCCTGGGGGTGTAACAACTCGCGGCAGGCGGTCTACCTGTGTGTCGCTTGAAGCTCAATTTCAAGATGCATGCACAAATCGGGGGGATCGTCTCTGCGTTTCATGTTGCGATTGCTTTCAGGAGTTCAGTCATGTCAGAGTAGCATTCTTGTCATTGATTTCAATTGAAGGGGAAGATGAAGATGAAAAAGAAGAATATGTAGAAAACCGATACCAACATACACGAATTGTGCTTCACGTCATAACCCATCATGGTCGCCAACTTGACTGATGGAATTGAAATCGAAATGGGCACAAAAAAGTTGGCCAAAGGGTGTCCGCCAAGCTGCCAAGCTGCCCAGATTTCCAGGAGACAGCCGCCCATGCCTCCAGTGCCGCGAGCATTATGTACCCCTGATGCGCCAAGCCGGCTCCACTGCAAACAAGCTCACACCAAGCAAAGCGGGACCCGCTCGAGCCCGCTGGGCCGAGAAGGTGTCGTCGATCAACCAAGCTTCTTGCTGCTGTGCCAAATCCAAGCTTTGCTTCAGTTGGGACCAAGGCTTGTCGATCGCGCGGATTGGATGATAAGAGATCTCTTGGAAAGGCTTAACAAACAACGAGGCGTTTTTTGGCCATCGTTGTTGCATTTTATCATCGTCTTTTGTACAGTAGGTAGCGTAGAAATACGAAGAGACGGAGCATGACAGAAAACAGAAAACGGGAAATCCGGGAAATAACGTCGGGGAATTTCAGTTGGAGGGTGCCAATTGTTCTGAGCGGCACTACGGTAACATCAGCCAGCCAGAGTCCCAGCTGAGCCAGACTGCGAAGAAGTGCGAACGTGCCGGAATTGGGGTTGTGACTCCGCCTACCTACCCTTCCCGTATCGGGCGTTGGCGTGTGTGCCGCTGCTGTTGTGAGCGCCAAACGACCTGGAGAAAAAACAAAAGAAGAGATACCAAATCAATGTGCGCTTTGAAGCTAGGTCGACGCTTTGGCAGTAATTGAAAGTGATGAACGTCAACCGCCAACCAGGGAAACATGTTCATCCTTCATTCTCCATCTTCATCCCACATTTCCCTCAGCCCCCCTATCTCAACCAACGGAATGCTTGAAATGGCAGGCCGGCGGAAGTGGCGTCGGACATTCCCTCCTCTTCTGGACGGCCATGTCACGTGCCATCGGGATCATCGATCGAGTTCCCTTGAACTTCTCCTTGAAGGGTTCAATCTTTTGGTCGCCAGAGAACGAACGAACCGATCGATTTCAGCCAAACAATCGAACCCCCTGGGCCGGTCGCTCAATGCCCGTTCCTTCCTCGGTTGGTCCACAATGCTGGTTGTCTGCCCCAGGTTCGGTAGAACTTCCACGACTCCTCCCAGAGAAAAAGGGTAGGTCCTCTCTGGAGACGAGTCCACACATTGTCAACAGGCGAAATGAAGATGGCACACGGATACTGCAACGGTGCGATGGCGGTCAACGGCCTTTGAATCTGGTCAACATGGTGATGCACACGGGATTTACATGCATGCTGCATCGACTTTGATGGAATCCCGGCAGTAGCAAACGAAGCCGTGTTGTGGCCGTTGGCGTATCAATAACAATCCAATTCAATGTGTTTCTGTGTCTCCAGACATGAGCGACGAAACTGGGCAAAGAGGAATCCAGAACTCCTCCCCCAATGTCTGATCATCCCTGCGTTTACGAATTACACTACGCTACCAATCCCACATGCGACGAAACCCACTCCCCATGTAGATGACTCCACTTGTCGGTTTCGAGTCCATCTTTTACGGTGCCGTGTGGCGTTGGAGACATGTTGAAGGCCAGAACACTGGAAAGCTCCCGAAAGGAAAAACATGATGGTTGGCCGGTGAGGTCGGCGACACAGAGATTAGGTTGCCAGTGTGATGATGGTCGCATCATTGATAGGTAGTTGGACGATTTCGCGAGTCTGTGCTGCTGTCAACTGTTTGGCGTAGGTAGAGGCCCCTTCCACTGCACTGCATCGTCTGCTGCAGCAGGCATGCGTGAGCGGACTGGAGACATCGATGGGCCCGTAGGTTGCTGGGGTTCTTGACCCACTCCCTCCCCTCCCCACCACACCACCGGGCTGACCGGCCAATAGCGGACCCACCACGACACACACGCTGACGCACAGACCAACTTGGTCTCCATTTCCACGCTTGCCAATCTCCGTTGCCTTCTTCTTTCCTCCTTTTTCCACCGCATGTCCCCCCCCCAAGTCCTGAGCTGTTTCCATTTTCCATTTCCTCCATTTTCTCTCCATTCACTCACTCCTGCCCATCCACCCAAAATCATCCATAGAAGGGGGCTGAACACATCACAGAGGTCTTTCGCTACTGCCTCTTTTCATTCGATCTCTTCCCACACTCTTTAAACAACATAATTACACGATAAACTCGGCCGACAGCTGGAGGATAATTCCCGACATACTTTACGCTGTACTATCTTCACCCATTTTCTGCGCCGAATAGAACACCGCCTTTAATCAACACTTTGACACACAGCAAAAATGGTTACCTCTAAAGCCGCCATTGTCGCGGGCCTCACCCTTGCGGGCCAGGCTTCCGCTGCTCTCCAGCCCATTGTCATGAAGGTAGGCATACCACCACCGTCGCACCCACGAAACGCCTCCAATGCTAACCACACTCGATTCCACAGGGCAGCAAGTTCTTCTACGAGAACGGCACCCAGTTCTACATCAAGGGTATTGCCTACCAGCAGGATGCTGCTGGCGCTGGTGGTGAGACAACCACTGGTACCTTCAAGGATCCTCTCGCCGACGCGGCCGCCTGCAAGCGTGATGTTCCCATCATGGCCGCCGCTGGCACCAACGCCATCCGTACCTACGCCATTGACCCTACTGCCGACCACAGCGCCTGCATGAAGCTCCTCGACGAGGCCGGTATCTACGTCATCAGCGATTTGTCCGAGCCCTCCACCTCCATCAACCGCGACGACCCCAGGTGGGACGTCACTCTCTACAAGCGCTACACCGCCGTTATCGACGAGATGAGCAAGTACAGCAACGTCATCGGTTTCTTCGCCGGTAACGAGGTTTCCAACAACGCCACCAACACCGACGCTTCTGCGTACGTCAAGGCTGCTGTCCGTGACTCCAAGAACTACATCAAGAGCAACGTCAAGCGTTGGATGGGTGTTGGCTATGCCGCCAACGACGACGCTAAGATCCGTTCCGAGATGGCGCACTTCTTCAACTGCGGCAACCAGAGCGAGGCCATCGACTTCTGGGGCTACAACATCTACGAGTGGTGCGGTCACAACACCATCCAGGGCTCCGGCTACCAGGACCAGATCGACTTCTTCAAGAACTACTCCGTCCCCGTCTTCTTCGCCGAGTACGGTTGCAACATCCCCAACGGTGCTGACGGCCGTATCTTCGAGGAGACCACCGCCCTTTACTCTGATGCTATGACTGACGTCTTCTCTGGCGGTATCGTCTACATGTACTTCGAGGAGGACAACGACTATGGTCTCGTCAAGGTTTCCGGCAACAGCGCTAAGACCATGAAGAACTACGACAAGCTCAAGGCCAACGTCCTCGCCGCCAAGCCCAAGGCCGTCGAACTCGATTCCTACAAGCCCGCCAACGAGCCCGCCGAGTGCCCCGATGTCACCTCCAACTGGCAGGTCACTGGCAACGCTCTCCCCCCTACTCCCAACGAGAGCCTCTGTGAGTGCATGTACAACTCCCTTACCTGCGTTCCCAACAAGGACGTTAAGCCCACTGCCTACGGTGAGCTCTTCGGCGTCGTCTGCGGCAACGACCCCGCTGCTTGCGCTGGTATCCAGGGCAACGTCTCCACTGGTGTCTACGGCTCCTATGCCATGTGCAACTCCCTCCAGCAGCTCGGCTACGTCATGGACCAGTACTACAAGAACCAGAAGTACGCTTCCACCGCCTGCGACTTCAACGGTCAGGCCTCCGCCAACGGTGCCGCCAAGGCCGACCCTACCTGCTCCGCCGCTCTCAAGAGCGCTGAGGCTGCTAACAAGGTCGCTGCTACCGCCACTGCTGGCACCGGCAACGGTGGTGTCGGTGGTAGCAGCGGTGGTGCTGCTGCCACTAGCTCCTCGTTCGCTGCCCCTGTCGCCATGAAGAGCTTCTTCACCGTTGCTGACATGGCCGTTGGCATGTACGTTGTCATCGCCATGGGCGTTGGTGCCGGCATGGTCATGCTCTAAGCAAGTCAAGTGAGCGAAGGGAGAGTCCGTTGGTTGTTGTATACCCAGGAGATTAGGAGGAAAGCATGTATATGGGGGTTGGTGTGGTCCTTTTTAGATGTCGGTTAGGTTTTTGTGTGTAATAAATTGATGTCTTATGGTACCCGCTCCTGAGCACAAGAAAGAAGCCATTTGCATATGTTGGGAAGTCTAATGAGTCTGATTGTCTCTTTCACCGGCGCACCTTTTTTCCTTTTTTTTTTTTTTTTTTTCTTCTTTTGGTTTGTTTCTGGAAGGGATTGTTGATACCTGGGAAACAGCGTTTAGATTTCTTTCTTTCAGTTTTCCTTAGCACAAAAGGAGGGTTGTTTGTTTGTCTCGGGCGCAGCTGGTCATCACATCACCACTTCTGTAGCCATTGATTATTCTAGGATACCTTTTTTTCTTCAGCAATATCAACAACGACAGTTGAATAACATTGCATTGTCTTTTGCCCTCAACATGGTGTTTGTAGAGTCTTAACTTGACTTGAAAAGCGCACGCCTTCCTCCGTCTCTTGTCTCTTCCTGTTGCGTGATGTGATGTCTTTGTCGTTACCTCAGTCTTTACTTGCCTACCCTCTCGACATTTGCCCGGACAGACAGACAACCTATCGAAGTAAAACGCCTCGCCCGTCAGGCCATCCCGAGTCCATCCAACCAGCCAGCAAAGAGGAGGAAGGAAAATCACAAAGCGCATCAAACATCCATGCGTGTTCCATGTTTTCGCATTCCCTATGTCGTCAGAGGTTCTCCAGCTGTAAAGTTGACAATCAGTATATGCAGACTTGATGTTTACGCATGTTGTACCGGGCCATCCATTTTCCTGCACAGGGGCATTGAAACCGGCAGATGGCAGATACTAGCAGGAAAATCACAATGGGTACCAACGAAAGGGACCTTGCATCTCTCCAAGCTTGTGGGTGGTATCTGTACCTCTAGGTATGGAGGTATGGGAGGTAAGTAAGTAAGTACCGCTTCAACTAACGCTTCCGGCTCCCTACCTACTTATCGGCACCTCACCGGCACCGCCGTCAAGACTCAAGACTCAACTACATAGCTCCAACGTCGGCCCTACCTACCTAGGAGCATTATCACGACCCCTACAGATTTGCAGCTCATACATACCTAGCTTAATACTAGTCAGGGAAGGGAAGGGAAGGGAAGCAAAGCAAAGCAACATGACTCAACTCAACCGTCCTCGCCGCTGTCCGATATCTCAACTTCTCTATCCATGGACAGACAGCCTTACCTTGTCTTTCGTAACTCGGCTCCCCATGGGTAGGTGGGTAGGTAGTGTTCTCGCTCTCCGGACTGGACCCAGGCTATGTACTGATATTTCGAGCATTCGAGAGTCGGGATGGAAATGTGGTATACTACCTAAGGTATAGTCCTTGTCTTTTTTTTATATTCGCCCTTCGTTGCGTTGATCACTTGGGGCGTCCTTGGAGGTACTGCGTAGAGAGAGATCATGGAGGTCATAGTGTTGTTGGAATCTTGGTTGCTCGATGTAGCATTAGGGCGGGATGGGTAGGTGGCTAGGTAGGTAGAGGTATCTAGAGGTAGGTGGCTATGGTAGGTAGGTTGGCGTTGACTTAGATCGCAGTCCGCAGACAGGAAGTACTGGTGGGGATTGTCCAGTGGTCTCTTCTCGTCGACGTTCTCGACTAAAACTTTTCTTAATCTTTTTCATTCTATACTCTTATCCCCGCCTTTTCCCCTACCAAATGGATTGGACGTAGCAGGTAGTAGACGACATGGACATGGGGATTGACTTGTATGTCGGGCGATGAATGCCAGATGGCGCCAAGCCTTCAAGTCTTGGCAGCACGAGCACGGGCCACCTACACCGCTCGGCGGTTGATTTTGCTCGGTTTGCGCCACAAACTGTCACTTACCCTCCACAACGGACGGCGGGCGGCGCCAAGTGACCAACCAACAACCAACAACCAACCAACCAACCAACCAACCAACCGCTGGCGAAGCTGATCAGGTCGACTGATCAATCCAGACATTCATTTTTCAATACAGCTAGTGAGCAACGCAAAATTAACACAAAAAGACGCTCGCTCTGCTTTTTCTTAGTCCGCCCACCCATATACCTGTATGGTTTCAAGGAGGGCTACTATACACGGGCTCACCAAAAGAGTGGTCAATTTGTCTGTGTGTACTGCTTCTCTTTCTTCTTTTTTATTTTTATTTTTTTTATTTTTTATTTTTTATTTTTCCATCTTTGGATTTTTTATTTTTTTATTTTTTTCATTTTCTTAATTTTTTTTAATTTTTTTTTGAACCACCAACTGTACCACCCTCGCAATCAAAACCAAATCAATCAATCAATCAATCAATTAATCAATCGACGAAAGGCATGTATGCATACATGCGGCTCTTCACCACCGGCCGGCTCCATCACACGCTCCAGCCAACACGTCCGATCAGTGAGTGGTGCCCCACCAAACCCGGATTGACGTCAGGGTGGTCATGATGATAATCCCGCCCGCCCACCGAGTCCCGTAGTGGAGGATGTACATGTATTTGGAGAAGAAGGTTACATCGCGAACTCTTTCCTTTTCCACCGGAATCCCCCTCCCAAGACCCAATACGTCCACTTAGGTGTACGCAGTAAGCCTGCATATACGAGGAGTGACAAGTTTGGAATCCACTTTATGTGCAATATGGAAGCCGCCTGCATGGCGGCCGTGATGGTCATGAGATGGATTAGTAGATGCAATTTGGCGTTGGAGACTACCTCTAGGTACCTACCTACCCAGGGACCGAATCGCTAGATAATCCGTTCAAACACCCACATTAGGCAGTCGACGATGCTCAACTACTGTACATGGGAGTACACAGAAGCGGAAGAAGCAAAAGATCAGCTGTAACGTATCATTATACCACGTGGGTTGAGTAGAGGTAAGAACTAGCACGACCGAGGCAGATACGGACTAACTTACTGACATAAGATAGGTAGCAGTGTCCGAATCGAGGTAAACGATGCGAGACTTTAACCCGATTCGACCCGAGCTGAAAACGATAAAGACCGGTCCGAACAAAAGACACCAGAGTTTGTCCGGCGGTCTCGGCGCGGTGTTCGTAAAAGGTACGGTACCTACAACTACCTCTACGGATCCCTGGGGCCCGATTTCGCCTCATTGGGCGTATACCCGTGTCGAGGAGCCGTATGTAAACCGGATGAGAGATCGACATCTGGAATCATGTCAGCTATGGCTTGGCCCCGGAAGTATGTTGCCGGCCGGACCTTTGAACATTGTCTTCCAGGGACTTGTGTATTTTTTTTTTTTCTTTTTCTCTATTTCGTAAATGGAAGGGATGGAACTAACGTGTGTAGAGGTAGACATATCTTGCCTATCCTTTCGCGACCTTTGCAAGACAGAGGAGGAATCGAAGCATGGAAAAAACCTGTGCCCCCCCCCCCCCCCCCCCCCCCAACACAACAAAAAATCACGAGAAGTCGGTATTTCCATATTGCACCTACACACCGATTGACCGTTGAGGCCTGGCCTGACCTGACCCTCAACCAGCCAGCCCTGTGATACAACCCCGCCATTGTACACTACCTCTACATACGATCCGACGCCTTGCATTACGTACCTATTTTGGTGCACAGGCAGACAGGCAGCCATCAAAAACAGCAGAAAGTGATCCCACCCACACCCTCTTTCCGTCTTCCCCGCATTTCCGGACCCCTTCGAATACGATGTTAGTGGACTGCCCAGGCGGATGTCAGCAAATGGAGGCGCAGAGATCGCCGGCTGCGGAAGCAACGGGAACGGTGAGACTGCGGCTCCATGGTGGGCTTGACTTGGCTTTTTGCTTGGCGGCATTGGCGAATGGGGAAATGATATCATATGCGGTGACATGGACGTCCGACTATACCACCACCATCACCGACCGACATTATTCGTATTGCTGAGCTGAGGTGAACTCGACGGACTCGATCAAGGTGGTATTGGAGTTAATGGAAAAGCAATATCGTATCTGCCGTTGATGCCTTGTGTCTTATGACTAGGTGGTTTCGGCAACACTGGCGGTTTGGACGACGTCGTCTGGGACGACAAGTCTACAGGTACTCTAGCTAACAGTCCAAGACTTCGACGACTTTCGACTGCATACCTACCTCTACCATCCGACCCAATCACGGACTAATGGACCCTTGCATTTGCATTGTTAAAAGGCTGGAACAAACCTGTGCTTCCACGCTGCCGACAGCCGGTCTGATGTCTTGGAAGGAGAGAGATCTTCGATCGTGGAGACCCTTGGGGTCCTTGGCCAAGCACCTCCAGGTATGTATAGTACGAGCTGAAAAAGAAAGCCTACCAACGTTGAAGCCAGTCAGTAGTGTACCACGTCAGTAAATTGCGGGTACCTCGTGTTGAGGCTTGGTACCTATCCAGGTGGTGTGAAAATTACTGAATTCGGACACTCGTGGTGTAAGTGTGTCCGGGGTATGTATCTCACCGTCCACACATACTCCGCCTCGGCCATCTGACATCTCCACGAGATAGATGCTACACTATTTCGAGGTAAGAGTGGATGGATGGGATGTAACCATTTCCCGTTTTGGATCTGATGCGGTGGGAAGCGGAATATCTGCGGTGGGAAACATTGTTGTCAGCCAAGTCGATGATGTCGATCTGGAGTTCTTCAGTGTATATAAGAATCCAGCAAGCTCCTCGAGTTACCTCCTGTTTCTTCCATCTCATCATCACCATCATTCAACCACACAAACAAAACAAGTTTCACCCTCCAAAGACCAAAAGCCAAAGACAACTCTTTACCTATCCTCCACCAACAACAACACACTCAACCAAACTAAAAATGCAACTCACCACCCTCCTCGCCCTCGCCACCGCGGCCGTGGTCCCGGCCCTCGGCGCCGTCATCCCCAGAGCCGTCGGCAAAGCCACCGTCCTCAACCACTGCTCCTTCCCCGTGACCCTCTGGTCCGTGGGCTCCACCGTCTCGGCGCCCGTCGCCCTCGCCGCGACCAACGGCACCTACAGCGAGGAATTCGTCAAGGACCCCGTGACGGGCGGCAAAGCGCTCAAGATCACCACCACCTCCGACGGCCTGTACACGGGCGCGCCCGAGCTCATCCTTGCGTATTCGCTGGATGGGAGCAACGTCTGGTATGATTTGAGCAGTGTCTTTGGGGACGCGTTCAAGGGACACAAGGTCACGGTGGCGGGCAAGGGAACCGGAAGCTGTGGGGCGATTGAGTGGACGGAGGGAACGCAGCCGGCGGGAAGCCAGACCAAGGTGTGTGGGAGCGCAGGGGATGTGGTGTTGGATTTGTGTGCTGCTTGAAGGACCTGCCCCATGGGTAGAGGTATGGAGAGGATCAAGGAAGGATCAGGGGGAGGATCTAATATGGCTGTACATGTATGACGGAGGGAGATTGAAACGACATGAAAGGAAGACCCGGACGAAACAGATACGACTTATGGATGGCATGAAAACACAATCGAAGGACGGAGAAGTACATATTTCCAATAACGAATTAAGCACATAATAACACATCTTTTAACATCTATATCATTGCCATCGACTCCCACATCAGCACATGTAAACCTCAACACGATTCCATTCCCCCCTTTGTATTCCCACCGCCGAGTGTCCTCCCCATACATCCCGTGCATCTTCCTTCCCTTTCTCTATCCCCTTTAGCCCTTGCCGACCCTAACCCTCCTCCTCCGAACACTCCGACCGACCCCTGAAGAGTCCCCACCCGATAACATGGACCGCCCGGCATCACAATCCACCACCGTAAAAACCTTTCAAGACATCGCCACCACAGTTCCACGCACTCATAAACCCAAATTCTAGCTACTCCCTTCAACAAACAAGGCAGCTTGCAACAGCTGCCCGGCTAGCTCAATCGGTAGAGCGTGAGACTCTTAATCTCAAGGTTGTGGGTTCGACCCCCACGTCGGGCTCAATTCCCGATGTTCCCAGCATTGCAATCTGGGACAACATCATCATTTTTGCCTCTTTTTCTTCTATTTTTCCAGCCTTTTGGTTCTTTTCTTGTTGGCTTGGGTAGAGGTAGGCTGGGTGGAGTCTTTCTTTCCGGTTTACGTGGATATACGGGAAGACATGTTGACGGATGGGAGATGGGCATGGTGCATGATAGAGGCATCGATTCCGACCAAGATATTGCATCTCATTTTGTGACCAGCTACTCCTGCTTGCCTTCCCTCGCCAGTCAACACTGCAGTCTTTGACGACTTTGTCCGAGGAGCATTTCAAGCCGCCAGATCAGCGGAGACAGCACAATGAACCGTTGTTTTAGATCTGTAAGGGCATGTGATGGTCTCTTTTACTCTCCCACGTCACAGAAACATGCGATCTGCTTTCAGACTGTTGAAGACTGTTGCATACATAGATCACTTGTTACGCTCCTTATATTCCCGCTGCGGTATACACATCTATCGAAGGAAATCTCCCACTTTCTCTTTCACTCCTTCCTCTTCCTCAATCAACAAGTTCACCACCACTCTCGTTTACCCTCGTAATCACTCGCTTCACTTCGACACACTTCCACACAGACACCAACGGTTATTCCTCTCAGTACTCCTTTGATGCCAGCCCATAGTTGGGCATTTCCTTAAACCACCCTCGTAACCACTCGCTTCAACACACTTCCACACAGACACCAACGGTTATCCCTCTCGGGACTTCCTTTGCGGCCCGTAGTTGGGCATTTTCCTTGAACCATCCCCTGTGCCTCGTCATACTTGTAGGCATGGAATTCGATTCCAGCCACCACCCAAGCGACGGCAACAAGAAAGCCCGGAACGTTTGGCCTCGTTCTGCAGCATCTCGGCATGTTCCTGCCTCTCTTTGAATGCCCTTAGTCCACACCCATATCGTCAACCCACGTTCCTTGGGCGGCCTTGGCCGCGGCCGCTTCCTCCTCCTCCTTCTTCTTCTTGGCCTTCCATTGGGCCACCACTATCTTCTCTGCCAGTTGCCGGACCGAGCTCTCCAGCTGCTCTTCCTGCTTGCCAGTGAGTTTCTGGCCGAGGGACTTGGGCGGGGTGCCGGGTTCGTCACTGGATTGATGGAAATGTAAGTGAGTTGAGCTTTACTCGCGATCATGTGGATGATTTAACATGCACCATGGGCGCGCGCGCGCGTGTGTGTGTGTGTGTTTTTGGATGGAAGGCCTGGCTCAAAGGCTGATCCACTGGTGCCAGTGTCTTTTCTTTTGTGCGAGGTATGTCGGCGTCCCCTTGGGAACTTGAACCGAGAATAACGGACAAGCCAGGGGGAATGAGGCCACTGTCAATGATAAAAAAGTCACTCACCAGTCTATGGGCAACGTGTGGTGTTCTGGTCTCGCCGGCCTTCTTCCTGGTCTCATCTTGAGTCTGGTATTCCCTATGTCAGAAGCTGCAAGCTAGAGGCGTACGCGGCAGGTAGGGAAACTAACTCGTAGGCGGGCGGTGGTGAAGCAGTTTACTTCTTGGGAGATGCGTTCTCCAAAGTACAAAACCTCTGCTGAAAACGACAATATCAGTAAAAGGTTAGACGTCGAGAAGGTTGTGGATGAAGGGTGACTCGGGGTACGAACGAGGATTGGTTGTGAGGAGAGTGCTTGAGAGAACTCGTGAATTGGTTGGGCGCTCAGAAAATTTTCACAATTCAGGAAGAAGTTCGCGTTAAATACTGAAGACACTGTAGGCTGTCCACTTGGACGTCTCTCGAGACGGGATGGAAGTCGCGTTCCTAAAGCGCGGGCCTGCCTGGCAATCAAGCAGTTGGGGCTACCAGAGTCCAGACTCACCCCGCGGCTGCCCATGCTGGGTACCTCTATGACCTTGGAGCAATCTCGTAGCCTGAAGCTCGGCTCCATGTCTTTGAGCAATGAATGGAAGGCACGCCCCTAAAAGGTTGTGACAGTTTGCGGATTGGGAGTGCTGCTATGTGCCCCTGGTGATCCGCAAGATACCTCTATCTCTACTGTACTGGCTAACCCGCCAGCCGCATGACAGAGCAAGCATTGCAGCTTCAAATCCCCGGGGGTTCTTCTTTCCTGGAATTGTCCAAAAGTTATCTGGACGTTGTAACTGAAGAACCTTCCACGCTCCCACAAAGTGTCAAGATTCTGGCCTGTCTGGACTACTGATCGCCGACCGCAATCTCGCAAGTTCTGTCTGCTCCTGTCTTTGCCAGACTCAGACGGGAAGGCGCGCCTCTAGAAGCAGGCTGTGGATCGTGACTCGTGAGTGACTCTGGGACATAAGGTGGCCCTCAAGGTACTGGCTAGAGGTACCTAGAGGTAGGGTAATTAGCTGCACAAGATGGCAGGCTGTATCCAGAGCTCCTTCTTTCTTCTTCTGTGGGCATACCTACTAGTGACACTTCAGTCTCTCATACTGCCCTCCTCCCTGGAGGTGCTGGTGCCGTTGGCTTTCGGCCCTTGAAGACCCCGAAAAGAGACCTTGGGTTTCCATCGCATCGACAGATGACAACACTGCAGTGTCCAATGCTCCGTTGGCCCAAGGGTTACCAAACATCACCTCAACAAGTTTTGTTGTCCTGTTGTTCTTTCGTCATCAAGGGTGACTGCCGAACATACCTACCTCTAGAGGTAGCTTTCTTCCCGCGATCGCCGATGATGGAATTGAGAGAGGCTAGCCACAATCTCGCAGGTTTTCCTCCGGTACATGCCCCAGATCTTCACAAGGTGGGAAGGTGCACTTTCTTCCGAGAACGGTTGGACTCTGCGATCACACCGACACTTGACCAGACACTTGTGCATCCTGTTACGTAGGTCTCAAGGCTGCCATGGTTCAACTGCAGAGGGGAGGTGTTCCTGCCCTCTTAACGTTCCTTCATCAGTCATTGCCTCAATGAGCTGCAGACTACCAACTTGTTCCTCGTGCCACTCAGAAATATCTCTTCTCGTAATTGCCACCGTTGGAGAAAGATGGCGTGCTGCCGCTAGAGGTACTAGAGGTAACCAAAGAGGCGCTGGTCATGCGGTAGCGGGTGACGGTCAAGCAATAGAACTATAGAAGAGACTGGAAGCAGAGTCAAGAGTTCCTTCTGCCCTTGAGGGTATGACTGCCCGTTCCCGGAACCTGAGCACTCTCTTTTAAGAAACCGCTCATGAAAGGCCGGGAACCCAGAAGATTCTGTCGGATTTGACCAAGACTGAGTCATGGAGCATCCAGGCTGCATTCCATTATTGGAAGTTCAATCGGTTGGAGCAGGCGCAAGACTTTCAAGCACCCGTAACTTCCACTTTTTAATAGATTCGCAAGACTGGACTGGACTCCGTGATTGGAAATGTCATCGATCAGCGTCTGATCCTGAAGAGTGCCCGATTACAACCTGCAAGTGTCCTCGAGTGCCATGTTAAAAAGTTCAAAGGTAGCCCTCCACAAAAGGCTGATTCTTCAATCTTGAGGTTGTTTTGTGTTGTGAAGACTGGACTTTGACTTTGGCAACCCAATGATCGCGATCGCTCTTGTGCTGGGAACACATGCAATGTTGTCTTGAGGTTGTGAGGCGCCTTGGGTGCAAGCTGAAGACCATACCAGCGTCATGTTTTGTGGCGGCGATGTTGTCCTTTCTGTGGTACCTCCCGTATACAATCACAAAGAGTTTCAGGTTGCTTGAGTTTTCTGCTAGGTGCCACGGTAGAGGTTCGAAACCGACGGCATAGTGCATGGAAAGCTCATTCTCACATGTTGTGAAGTGGTCGGCATCACACCACAGTGGACACAATGATCACGGTGAGCAAGAAGTGGAAAATACCTCTAGAGGTTTTCTGTGTACATTCTTTGGCACCCATTCACTGGGCTTTCCATTCACCGGCACTCCCTTCCAGGCTTCTAGTCTTCTCTGACTTCCGTTTCACCTCTTCCGCTATTAGTACAGAATCAAGCCCATGTTCTGTCGTCGCCCTCCCACCTCTGCCAGAAAAAGAGAGAGAAAGAGAGAAAGAGAGAGACTACAGTACAAGTACACACCTCCTCTCAGCCCCCCGACCAACATGAAGACATCATACCGGCCAACCCAACAAGACGATACACCGGCCACCCAACAAGACATTGCGCCGGCCCCCGGTCACACCAGCAGAGAGAAGAGTCTCGAGGCGAGGCTGGGTACAGGACTAGGGACCAACGTTGAGGGGCCCCTCTTGAGCCCGGACAATGAGGCGGCCTGTCGTTTCCGGACAGTTAGCTGGATGCCTCCAGGAGCTTGATGGTAAGAGGACCGTGTCTGGCCACGGATGAAGATACTTACCCACTTGAAGCTTGGCTATGCGCCGGCCACACCAACAAGCGATTGCTCCCTTGATCCCGCCACCGCCAATTGTTTGGCCTGCCCCATCTGGGAGGCGTTTGTCTTGAGCAACGCGTGCTGGTACTCGACGATATGTCGGCGTTACACTTGCTGACGTGAAAAAAAAGGTCAGAATGGAAGGGAAGAGGGGAAGGGAGGACGAAATAGAAAACAGTGTGGAAATGCTTACGACAGGAGGATGGACGGTCACGCATCCTGAGGCTAGATGAGGACGCCAGACGGCGAGTCTCCTTCGCAGCCTGAATGTTCTTCTTGTCTTCCCCGCTTCTGATCTAACCAAGGGCACGATCAGGTTAGTATTTGAGCAAAGCTCTGTGATGAGGCAGAGGTGAGGACTTGGAAGAGAACAAGGAAAGTGATTACTAACGAAGAAGCAGGAGAAGATAAGCCGGCCCCCGTTGTACTGGGGGTAATGTTGGACACGGGGAGCCGCATTTGCCGCAGGAGGTGGTTAGGACGGTCTGGGTGCACATCCTGGCGGCATCCTCGGTCTTGAGTATGTGCCCTTATGCTTGTGGCATGTTGAATTGATGAAGATGGTGAAAGGAGGAGGAGGAAGGAAAAAAATTCGTGGGGGATGGGGAGAACTTTATTGCCCAGCCAAGCGGGGAAATCGCACGAAAGATTCGTCTCGGTAATGACATACTCAGCTGATGTACTTGGTATTTCGCCCTAATCTGTGTCACACTATGCTTCCACCCAGTTCCAGTGGGTTCCTGTGTATAGGGCACATCCGCCCGGGACAAATCCAAGTGGACCAGCTTGAGGAGCTTCCTATCTCAACCGGGAGAAGAGCTATTTGAACCAGGAAAATTTGGAGAAGTGACTTTTAACATGTTCGAAATCCGTCGTCGAAGTTTGATAGGATCCTATGGTCAGGTTGTAGTTCAAGTTGACGAGTCCTTTGACCGATCTACCTACTCACGACAATCATGTCCCGCAGTAATGTGCCCCGGCCGGAGATGATTCTCCCCGCGTGAGGAGTAGGTACACTCCGAGTTTGTCAGACGACATGCAAGATTGAAGGAAGGAAGGAGCTTCAGACGAGACGACAACGCTGCCTTCTTGCCAGCAAGATCGACCTTCGATCCCATCCGCCCCTCAAGAATCTTTCAAGTCGCCTCTTTTCCTCTGCCTCTATCTTCCCCTCAAGACGGGCACTCATCTTCCTACCTAATCTTCCTTGTTAGATACAGCATTTCAGAGGCCTCTGGCCCCCCACGGTCACTCAGGCCACACAAAAATCATGGATTTCAAGCCTCCGTCGCGAAGAAAGAGTACCTCTAGGTAGGTCTCCTTGTTTTGATTTTGTAACCTCCGCCCCAATTCCACCAGCACCCTCGTTCTCAGTCGACACTGTTTCCTGAATCAGAATGCTCTCGCGACCTCGCATTGGCAAGACAGAGGAGTGTACAGCAATTCAATCTCCAAGCGAAAGAAAAGAGTCCCAACGATAATGCTTTTCTTGCTTTCCCTCCACTTTTTGTCCATGCCGCTCTTCTCGGTATCACGGAATTCCCAAACCTTTCTTTTGCTGTTATCATCACCCAGACGCTGATACCATTGCTCACATGAATGTGACCGCAGTCTCACAGTCGCCTTTGCGGGCGACCGACTTGTGCCGCAAGCACGCGTTCAAACTCGGGGAGTGCTACTCTCTCAGGAAGAGTGGTGTACCTCACGGAAACTTCCATGGTGAGTCTACCTTCAACCCATCTACCAGCCAAGGAGTTCACGAGCTAACGGAACATCATGGCAGTCCCTGAAGCATCGTCACCTGTCACCACCACCACCACTACCACTACGACTACCACCAACGACAACGGCAACAACAAAGCGCTGGGTTCAATTCCCAGGCACTACAGTCGTCTCCATCATCCACCATGGTTATACCGAGGGTCCTAACCACGATAAGGAGAACATCCAAGCTGGAGTCAGACCGATATAGCGTTGGTAGGCCATCCCTAGAAGGCCATATCCCAAGACCTGACTCCATTACCCGGCCCCTTTTTCTCTATTCGACGAGGAGCTACAAACAGCGCTCTCGTCTCTAGGGGTTGTGTGATGACTTGCATACAATGGAGGGTGTCTTGGGCTCCAAGCCCGGCTGTTTTGCGGTGGACTCGACGATATCATTGGTTGTGGAATGCCAGCAGTAGTGGTGTAACGGGATGGACATCAGCTTATTACTCTCTTTTGGCGATGTTAGTGGTGGTGTAATTGGGTCTCTTGTTGAAGTTCCTGTATCTTCATCTCTTGGAGGGCTGTTTCCTTTGTACCTGTACGCGTTGAGAGGCGCTGATGACCGGGAAGTAATGCGGGCTTGATACATGCAGAGGTAGAAAATGTACATTGGTGCACATGCCTTTTCCATCCAAGCGTGATGTACTCCCTGCCTGTACCCTCGTGCATTGAAGAGCTTTCCGCCAAGATGCATGTCGATGTCAATGAAAGGCGGGCATCCTCAAAGCACAAGTGAATCACGATGCCCAAATGCTTGTCCGCATTGAGAGACAAAGATTCCTCCTCGCCAAAGATCCAAGAGTGCACCAGGCAAGCACTTCCCGTTAACAAAAAGTTTGGCGTGAGCGGGATGGAAAGCATCACGACCCGCCAGGCGGAACCAGGACACTCGACCACCACCTTTGCAACCCATCAGCTTATTCGAAACTAAAAGCTTTCTCGCTTGCACTGGACTTTGAAGTTTCGTCTCCTAGAAAAACCTTTCTCGTCTGGAGCGTTCAAAGGGAATGAATGCCCGGCGCTGGCCACGAATTGCTGCCCGCTTGTTGACATCCATCCATCCAGATCGTCTACGCGGACTATCTCTACGCCAGCAGCTGAACACCTCATCGAGAAAACCTAGGTAGCCTTGTGCAATATTACCACAAACCTATCCTGGCCGCCGTTTGAGTGTGCCCCTGAGGAAGAAACAGAATGCATCATAGGTTTACATGCGCTAGATCCGAGAATGCGATCACGAAGGGTTCGGCTGTTGGTAGGTACCTAGGTATTCCGTCAACGCCGGCAAGGGGTTAGCACCGCCAGCAAGCAACAAAAGATCATGAGACCATTGAACCCACTGCTAGGTACGATTCGCTACATATACCTTACCCATGAAACGCTCCTGTGACTGCGCCCGATTGCTCTTTTGTCGGGCAAGCATACCTCTCTAGGTAGCAGCACACTGGGAGCATCCATGGCACTGTGCACGCGTGAGGAAGCTCGAATCTGTCGGTAATAGCAGCTAAAGCAGCAAGCGTCTACATTTCGAATCCCTGAGGAGCTCATTACCTAGAGGTACCTAGTCTGAGTAGGATCCAAAACTCCAGGTGGCTGTTCGACGGAGGGAGACGTATACATAAGCTTCTTCTTCTCTTTATCCCGCCGGATCGCTAGCGGTACCATACATAAACCACGCGGCCACACAAGGACCAGCAAATGGCTGGCAACATACCTAGTAGGGCTTTGAAAGATACAGATGGCAAGGAACTTGCCTTCCACAACTGTCTGTCATTCGTTATAAAAACAAGGTAGGTAAAGATAGATCTCAACTCGACCAGCGGTTGTATTCTTGTCCACACCTCTTTGAGTGTAGACACACTATTATAGATCGTAGTCCCCTCCCTCTCCCTCCACCCCCTGATAGCCCGCTGACGACCTCCAGATAGATAGAGGTAGATGTCCGTCACCAAGCATGTACATGTATTAGTATTAAGCCGCAGGCCATATATTTGCCTCAACCTTGCGCATTAGATGTATTACTCCCCGAACGTACTCGCCCTCGGCCCTATCGGCGGCCTAGTAGGTGTACCGTCCCGCGGTCCAGTACCTGTACTGACCACCTCTCCCCGAAGTCCCGACAATCCCGCCCAAGTCCCACCATCCAGACCCTGTCCCTGACCCTGTCCCTGACTCTGTACTCCTCCCATCATCGTCATCTGCCTACTCGTAGAGGTAGTAGTAGAGGCAGTCTCCGACATTCCCCTCTCCCTCCCCCTAGCACTAGCACTAGCACCGCCGCCGTATTGCTGCTGCTGCTGCTGCTGCTGCTGCTGTTGCTGGCTAGCAGGTCCCTGATATCCAGGGTACTTCAATCCCATGTGGCCTGCGATCTGGTTCGGTGATA